AAACGAAAAAAAACAAAAAACAATCCCAAAATAAATCCGCACCCTTACCCAATTACCTGACGTACCCCATTGTCCCTTTAAGTTTTGCTAAAAGTATTGCTCCCGCTTACTAGGGGGCAAAATCCTTTTGTATGCCAGACGATCGCCATGGGATTTCCTCTGTCTGCATCTCAAGTCTTGCCGCACATGAGGCCCTCAACAAAGCCTTTGTAGGGTGTAGTCGTATACTACAGAGCAAATTCTTGAATTCTTGTTGACTTTCCAATGAAAAACCTACGGGGGATGGGCGATTCTTTGAATGGTACCAGGCCCACTTAGCACCTGGTGAGGTAGGGTTTTGGACATGCGGGCTGCCCTAACCTGCGTCCCTCGAGAACTTCTCTCCCCCCTGTATTTTGCACCCATGGCCGTTCCGGCAGCACTCCCGCTGCCCTTGTGCCCTTTTTCTGGGGGATGGGCTTCCCTTTAAAATCATCTCGCTTCCTGAATTCCGTTTCGGACTTCATGTTTTTTTTGGTTTGGAACATCCTGGACCCCCAAAGGACCGCTTTTTTCTGCCTTTGTACCCCTTTTTTTTGGGTCAAAGGCAGAAAAAAAGGGGTCCTTTGCGGGTCCAGGATGTTAGTGGTGAACAAAAAGTGTGGTTACATGTTTTGGCCAACTCGATCGGAGGCGCACAAGCACAAGGTGCCTTTCTTCCCGGGGTGAAGAGGGTAGCCGTCACCGCTGGTTCAACTTGCGTTTCTGGAACGAAACCCACAAGAGGCTGGCTTGAGCGAAAAAAGCACTTGCCCACGTGATCCCACATGGCTTGGACACTGAAACCTGGTAGATAGGTTGTGGGCAGGGTCAGTTGGACTAGTGACTATAGGATTGATTGGCCGAAAACCCTTAAAAATGATGGGTGGAAGGGTCACCCGAGCCACACTCAAGAAACGGTAGATGAAGGGTAGGGACAGTGTGAGCCATACATTGATGCGGATATCCTCCCTATTGTGTTTAGACGAAATCCTGCACCACCTGGAAGCCATGGTTGAAACCATTGTTGGTTAGTGTTTTTTTGGGGAATCATCCGAAGATTGGCGGTTGTGAAATTGATTTCCATGCACAGTATTAGCCCGAAAGATTACGAAGGTGGCAAGAACAGAGGGCTCACTTCCATTTCCATTGATGGTAGTTTAAATGGAAACCCTGGGAAACCAATTTTTGTGTTTTGTGTTTTTTGTTGCACTGGCCAGGAGGAGATCATGCTGCTGGCACCAGCCACAGTTTCGCCCGCCGCCCAAGCGCGATCAGCCGTTTTGGGTCGAACATCGTGTTTAAGTAGGGACATAAAAAGGGAGTCCGTGGCATCCGCATCCACAGGCCATGTGTTTTTTGTGTGCCGATTGTTTTCTATGATGTCAAGGGAATCCGCTTCAAAGTGAGAAGTGCTTAAACTCACGCGAACACTTGAGGGTGCAAGCAGTCAACTGTCTGCCTTTTTGCTGGGACAATCAACTGTTTTGACGGTTGAAGGCCAACCCACCGCACGGAACGTATCAGGGCCCTTGAGGAACATGGTCCAAAGCAGGACCTAGAATGAGGAAAACGGTCCAAAACAGGACCTCCATGAATTCATGTCAGATCGGTAAGGGTTCAAAGAGCCCTATCAGCCTATGGCTTTCGGACCAAATTTCAGCCAGCCTCTCCATGAATCCATGGTTGTCGCAACGGGAAACAATTTTCCTACTTTTGAGCTTATTGTGGTTTAGTGGTTGAAATCCAAGTCCACTTAACTGCTAAAATTTGAGAATTTTTGCTCCCCAAACCCAACGTCAACCAAGCATGAATCCATCAGCCACTTTGAAACCTGATCCGCCGAGCCCCGCTTTTTTTTCTCCACAGGCTAGCGACCAGCGCGGGTCGCTCCTTGCATTGGAGGCAGGTAGCTGCGAGGTTTTCGAGCTGTGCCCATGTGGCTAGCTCACCTACAAGGAAGACCAGCTCAGCATGCTGAAGGTCCTTTACTTGATCCCATATTCTTACCTGGAGTCGCCTTCTGACCCTTAAAAAAATGGTTGGTCATTTCCCAAAATGATGGGGTCATTGACCCATTTTTAAATGGTCATGGAGACTCCAGGTACATATGCTTGAGAATATGGTTTTGTTTGATCTCCCCTGTTGGTTGTGAATCTGTCTCTACTTGAGCAACACATTCAAGTGATTGCGGGAGTCACGGCGAACCAGGCGTTCTCGCAGGGAACCAGCAACAATTTGGAGGGCCCGAAAAAAAGAAAGAAAGAAAACACCATTCAGTGCAGCCCTCACCAGAAGATTGGACACAACCGAAGGTAGTCCACCCCCTCAGAAAAAATGAAGTGGGGATGCCAGACGTGTCCAGCATTTGCTCCATGACGAAAACCAGGTTGCTGCTGTAGGGGTGAGCCAGGAGATGCCCCGGCAAAAATAAAGCATCGCGGGTTACGGGGTGGAGCTTTTGCCTTCTAGGAGACCCATGGAATTTAGTCGGGAGGAAAACAACGTATGTCTACGAATTTCAGGGGTCCAAACATCAGGTGTGTGTGTGTGTGTGTTTTTAAGGTGCCCCTTTTCTGGTGGTTTCAAAGGGAAACCAAAAGGAGCACGGCCGTTTTGGGGGCTGCCCTAAAAAATGACAGACCCACATTGTGGTTGCCAAATGAGAGGTGCATTTTGCTTGGATGTTAGGACTTCATTTTTTGCCAACTAATGGGTCTTCCATTAAACCACCAAAAGTTAAACTTTTAGCAGGAGAGCAAAAGGCAACCGAGAAGAGTTTGTCTCTCTTTTTTTCTTCGCATGGCGACTTTAGAGGAAACTCGCCTTTCGCTTTTGTTTGCCACGCTTTTGTTTGCCAGGCTGGCAGTGCTGAGTCTGGAGCTATTTTCAGGAGGGGTCAACCGGGGTCCCTGGCAGGGGCGGGGGGGGGGGCTATGGCTGGATGGGTGATCTTGTGACAAACCGCGGGGGGCACCTAGTCTACAATCCACCTCGAGTCTCTATGACCCTTAAAAAATGGTTGCTCACTGCCCAAAATCCTGGGGTCATTGACCCAAAAGGGCCATGGAGACTCCGGACACATTTTTGTTTGGCCCCGTTCAGTACCCTGTTGGGTGCAAAAGAACGCCCCAAGTTGCGTTTTTCCCTTCCGAGCCGTTGGGGGGGTTCTTTGGTTGACGGGAAGCGGTGCATCAGATGGGAGCCGAAGGATGGCATCCGCGCAAACAGACTCACTGACTGGTTCAAAGCGAACCAACCTGAAATGACCTTTTTGGGCTCCCTTGTTGGGTTCCCTTTTTGGGTACTCATTTGTTGGGTTCTCATTTTTGGGTTCTCATTTTTGGGTTTCCTTTTTGGGTTCCCATGTTTAGTCGTGATCACCTTTTAGTTCTGGGTCCTTTGGGCAGGACCAGTCAATTCCCGGGACGCTTTTGGCGGGTTAGGAATTGGATGCCCAAAAAACAAGGCTGCCGTCAAAAGACACTCGAAAAAAACTGGGCTGTTTGAATGTAATTTGTATTGGCTTCGACTTTAGATCCTGGGTTAGGATTGGCCAACTGGCCAACCCTCCATTTTGAACAGCCCAGCAAAATGCCTTTGCAGAAGAAAGTCCTTTTTTTTCTATTGCTGCTTGAATCTGGAGTGTGGAGTGTCAAGTTTCAGCCTGTGTCCAGCTACCATACCTTGGGAGAAACACGCACCTGTCAGTCTTGGTACTGTGGATGGACAAAATCCATTTCGCATCACCTGAAAACATGACATGGGAAACCATTGTTTGTTGTTATGCACAGCGGAATCATCATTCCAGGGTTTCTTAGGTGGTGCGAAATGGATTTCGTCCATCCACAGTAGCACGCCAGTTGCCAAGACTCGGGAGCTTGGGTAACAGCAAACCCGTCGGAAGCCCTCCCGTCCTTCTTCTGCTTCCTCTGGTGCTCGAAGGCACATAAATGTGCATCAAGCGATAGCAGGTCTTTGGTTACTCACCCCGCGTTCCTGGAAACTACCTAGATAGCCAAGCTGCGATCGCTTTTTTCAGTCACTGTGCTGGTTTTGGGGGTAAGATCATGGAAAAAACAGCAACTGGCGATCCAGGTACTTGTAGCGACTTTTGGGGACGGAATTCCCCCAACAGCAACGGGTATAGGGTCAATCTGATGGGTTTGGAGAGTTCTGCGGATGTTTCGCAAGGCGGTTTTCCTGGTTCCTTGGGCGAGTTTGTATAGTTTGCTGAATCGGAGACCTGACATGAGCCAGTCTCTGGTCCATAATGCTAGTGTGCCCCGTTTTACGGAACCATGTTGCGTGCATCCATTTTGCTATAAAGGCCACCTTTGAGTTGCCAATTTGAAGTGAGTTTTGTTGGTGCCTAGGTCCCCCAGTAGTGCCCTTTTACATCTTTTTGGGGGGGAGGGCTCCCCTACTAAAATAGACTACAGAGAAAAAACATATAAAACAAAAGATAATAATAATAATAATAATAAAAAAAAACGGGGGAAAAAACATACCCTTATTCTAACCTCTCTACTGGAGGACCTATAGGTGCGACGTAGACACACCCTCTTTTCAATGCCCACGCCCTCAGCTTTCCTGGGTGAGAGGGCAGCTTTTCTTCCTCTGGCTTCTGGAAATCGGTTAGCATTGGCGTCCGACGCTCTCAGCCGCTGGCTCGGGGCGTTGCACAGCCAAGAACGAGATGTGCCGCCCCAACTCTCACTTCCTGAGTTGGTGGACTTTAAACTTTTTGGTCAGACCATTTTAGTAGTAAATAAAAAGTTCAAACTTTTCTTGGCCAGTCAACTTGGAGTTACTCCACATCATCTTCCTTGGTCATTCCGCCCAACCTCCAACCTCCAGCCGACAGAAAGCCTCACTCACCACCAGAGGGCGCCGCGAGCTCAGCCAGAGGCCGCCTTTTAGCACCGCGGAACCCGCGGAATTCGACGGGGTCGGACTCGGTCGCCCTCGATGGTCGCGCCATGTCGCTTGCCGCGCTGTCGCACTTGCAGCTGGCGCTCGGAAGCCTCAAACAGGCGGTCGAGGCACCGGGGGAGCGAGCGCCTTCGGCATTTTTAATGCCGGGGACTGTGTCTCACTTTCTGAGTTCATGAACTTTAAACTTTTTGGGAAGACCATATCAGTGGTGAATATAAAGTTTGACTTTTTTTGGGCCATCCACTCAGCAAGTGAGTTTGGGCGACCAAGAAGTTTGAACTTTTTCGGCCAACCCACTCTGAAAGTGAGAGATACACCCCCGACCCAATACCTTTTTTCTTGGGGCACCGTATCAACCCCGAACTAGAAAACTTGCTGTGAGGGGAATGACCCCTATAAACCATCCATCCTATGGTTTCCTTTCAGGGAATCCCCTTCAGTTCATTCCCAACACATCCCAACACCTTCCATTTGCTTAAGAATAGTTTTCCCTGTTGGTTTTAAAGGGAATCCATTACTGGAAATATGTTTACTTTTTTCCAGGGGTCTTAACCAAATGGAAGACACCCGGAAGCTCGGTCATTCCCTATCAGCAAGAAGTGGCCTTTTTCGGAGCAGCCTGCCATCGGAGCCGGGCGCAGGGTTTGATTTGGGTGCTCCCATGGCACTCTTACCCGCTACTCAAACAGGGCTCCTTAAAAGATACATTTTGCCCATTTGAAACATGTTGTTTTCCACCAAAACCAAGGGAAACCACCATTGACAAGTTGCAATGTTCCGGTGTATAATGTAAGGATCCCTGTCAAAATACCCACGCTGTTTTCAGTTGGTGTTCTTGGAAAACCGATCGGTGTTATGGTAAATGCCAAACCTGGTTTAGTAGAGGGTCGAGGAGGTTACGGGGGTATTTATTCTATCCGCCTCCCAAGGGTCCGACTGCGGTTTGCCTGAAAGCTCCGGAGGAATCACAGGGCTCACGGAAAGCTTGCTTTCATTTGGGCCGTTGCCAGGTCACGTCCCTTGACAGGTTGTAAGACTTATAATATATATATATATATATCATTTTAACACGACCGCCGTTTCATAGCGTGCTGGCTTCCCAGCATTTCAATCATATTGGGAGCGTTTTTAAGGTACTTACTCACCTTTGTGGTTGGCTTAGGATACCACAAGGAGGACTTAAGCATGGTTGCGTCACTTTTTTTTGACAAACCCATTGCACTTCTTTTCCGCTTTCCGTGTTCACTTTGTTTTACATGGAGGAGCTTTGAGCCTCAAACAAGTCCTCAGCTCGGGCCTTGAGCATGCGAAGATGCGACCCCAGCCTCATGACAGCAAGCAACAAACACGATGCACATCAAACTTGATTCCACACAAGAGACAGAGGGAGCGAGAGAAGGCGATGAATAAATAAAGCAAGAAACAACTCACGAAAGAAAGAAAGGAAAGACAGGGAGAGAGACACATGAAAAGCACATATACATTAACAGAAAGGACATAGATCCCAAAAGAAGGAAAGAGACAGAAAGCGAGAGGGAGACGCCCTTGATTCAACTGGTTGGAGAGTGTTAGGTACAACTGCAGGTCCCCCAAGGGTGCAGAGAGCGGAAGAACTGGAATGAGCCAACTTTTTGCTTCGGATATTTGCGTCAAACTGGGGCTTTTCACAAGCGAAGCCAATAGAGTGTATATCAAGGTGGAACCCCGAGGTTTACTCCCCTGATCCACGTAAGGCGTTAATCAAATGTCAACTTGGGGATGGGATCGATCCGAAGGGGGAGGTAAGGGAATGGCGGCTTGTTTGCTCATATAAGGCTTACTCATCATGGGTTCCAGCTGAGCTGTTTTCCTTATGGCTCCATGGGATCCAATCACAGAAAGTGACTTGGGAGCTAATTAATCTCTAGCCTGATCGAATCGCTTTCTGCCCTGAGTTTGCAAACTTAAAGCCTTTGGTGTTCTTTTTCAGCCGTTTTGGTAGTGGCCCGAAAAGGTTTGAACCTTTTCGGGCCATGGACAGCGGGTCAGCAAGGATATGCAGGACAGCATTGGTTTTGCTTTCATGAACACATCCCCAAGAAGCGTTCGCACCATGGGGCGCAGGCCCTTTTTTACAAATAATTTGAGGCTCGGGCCTCCTTTTTTTTTTTCACGCGGGCCACTTTGCCTCGCCCGCATGCCCGCCTCGCGCAGGCCGGTGGCGCTCTGGGCGAGGAGGATCGAAGCCACTCGATGCGAGAGATGGGAATGAGAAGTAGAATGAGGGAATGACCCTAACGATCCCTTGTTGCCTTTAAGGGGACCTCTGGGTTCATTCCATTTCTTATTCCCTACCGCACCAGCAAGCTTTTCGATGGTTTCCCAGCTGGAAGCTATGCCCAGGCTAGTTCGGTAGGCAGGGAATGAGTTGAACATTCTTCAACTAGCTGCATTTTCAAGCATGCTCAAAATCTCCTTGCTACAGCCAAAAGGCAGTGGTTGCTACTGTGGACGGTTGCGAACATTCGCTTCTCGCACCGTTCAGAAACCCAACGGTTGGCGAGGATTCCCAACGTATACATACAAAAACGTTGTGGGCTCAACCATTCCAAGCGGTGTGAAATGGATTTCATCCATCCACAGTATTGGGGTCTTTTCCCAGAGGGGCGGTTTGGAGAAGCTTTCAGGGAGGGTTTCGGAGATTCGGCTCCGGAACTGTTGGGGATACTGCAGATTATGTTATAGGGGAGTTTCCCTATATCCATTGCCAAGAAAAGGGGGGCACCCTCTTTCCCACTGGGGGATTTGGGTTGAAGAGGCGATCGGTTCTGTATGTCGGGCAAGGGATTTGGCGGGTGGTTTCCCTGCCAAGCGAGTTACCATAGTTATGAGCCTAGTCCCCTAAATGGATTATGTATCTTATATATAGCTAAGTTACCATATAGTTATGAAACTATGAGTCCCCCAAATCCCCAAATGGATTATATAGTTTATATATCCAACGGGGTCGCGAGTGCCATGCCATTCTCCACAAAGTGTGGCTCGATTCGGTGAGCACCTAGCCCTCTCAGACCCTCCTTTGGAGCAAGGGCCTGGATCTGCTCGAATTGAGATTTCGGTGGCTCCCTCAAAAGGTCTCGCAGGAAAATCTACAGGACATGGCAAGAGACACCGTGCATTTAAGCTGTTCTCCTGTAGAAGTTCCGGTAACTCGACCCGTTGGACCTCCCGACGTTTTGGGGTTTGAGGCTAGGACCTCGGCCCCTTTTGTCCGTGGCCCTCAGAAACAATTTGATCGAATCGAGGTGCGGTGCAGCAGATAGCACACGAGCTGCTGGACTTGTCAAAGCCAGGGAGCTCAGTCCAGCGTTGTGAAGCGTATCAAAACAACAACCTGGACCAAACTTCCCGCTAAAAATTAGGTTATTGCAACCGAAATTTATGGTGGATGATTTACCTTTTTTGATTGGTAGTTTGAGGGTTCAGGAATATGTGTGTGTGACAGAAAAAGGGAAATCACCCACTCCGTTTATTGGCCGGGCTTCCAAGTGGGTAACCCTGCGCAAATATTTCAGGTGTGCTTGGAAGCCTCCTGAGGTGAGAAATCCAGGCTGCCTAAGTAGCCTGTTGCTTTCAGCTCTCTATGCCTGGGCTTTCTTTTCCAGTTAAGGTCCTACTTTAAAAAAATGAAAAATAAAACAACAGGGACATAGCCCACAATGAGTGTTTACACATTGGTTCTCTCTCTCTATATATATATACTTACATATTCACATCCGGGGTGCATCCCCCAAACACCATCATTTTTCAATATGGCGCATAGGTAGCATATACGTTGGGTAAACATGTTTTCAGCCTACTTCCGATGGCTTCAGGCTTTCACCATTTGTTCGTGCGCAAGTGGCCCCCTGCTTCCGCAATGTATGCTTTCAGGTCCTCTACATTTCTTTGTGCAGCCCTTCCCCCCGCAAAAAAGAAAGAAAGATAAACACAAAGAGAACACATAGGTTTCTTTTTATGCCACTGGGCGATGGGATCTAATGTTTTAACACCCATCCCGCCCATCCCGCCCAGCATGTAACCCAACAAGCGACCCCTTGGGTTCCTTCTCAAAGAAATGGATGGGGTCAAGGGTTCCCCACCTTCGTTGCCGTGTGCCGAGCATCATTGGGAAATGGGGTTGGCCCATGTTCTGCACGGGAATCACGGTCAAAGTGACAACTGAACTGGCGCCAATGCTGGTTGTCCCGCTTCGTCACAGGGGCACCAACTTCGCACAGACTAACCTACAAGAAAGGTGGCCAAGCGTGGAGGAGAATCGTTCTGCGACACTGGTGACCTTTCAAAATAGCACACAAGCAACCAAATGCTATTCAGTATGTACATGATACGATTTCTGACTCCCTGAGTTCATATACTTTGTCGGAAGACAATGTGCGCCCCAACATGACAAGGTCAGACCTAGTTTGGCCAATCCACACACAGGACGTGAATATCAAACCGCCATATCTGCCAGGGATGCCCCAACAAACTGCAGGTAAGAAGACATGAGGTGAGTTCAATGATCATGTCGGCTGGCAATATCCCAAGGGGTTTGAAAGGTACCTTCAAACAAGCAGTTCTGCACAGGTCCGGCAACCAGCCACAGCCACGTAACGTGTTCGACCCCATACTCATCAACCAACCAGTGTATTCATTTGGGGGTGCGGGGTGTTCCCCTCCGGAAAAAAAAACAAAAAACTGGGGCTGATTCTGTTTGGTGCAACATTAAGTGGTCAGTAAGCCTTATAACCCACTGAACGGAGACCTACAGCCATGGACTTTGCGGGTTGTAAGTTGGAACCTATGGTTGTTATCCACTTAGCTGACGTAGCCCATCGGCTCTTTAAGTGGTTGCCTGCAGGAGTTCCTGACCCAACCCAATCGCCCCCCCTCCCCCCTCTTTCCACCCCCCCTCTTCTTCCTGTGCTGGGTGGTTTTTGCAGAACTCTTGTATGTTTGCAAGTAACTGATGTGACTGATGTGTGTTGCGGCGGCTTACACTGGTTTGCCAAAAGAAACCGGCCGTATTTCTACACCTTTTTGAGGGCGCACGTCCGGCCAGGCCCTCCCTGGGCGACTTGCCGCTGCCGCACCGGCCCTCTGAGTCCCAGATCGAGGGCGGAAGCCAGGTGCAGGCGATTGAAGCCACGGAGGTGTGGCGGGGGGCGCCTTGATATCCCCCCCCCTTTCGTGTTTGGATGGTTAAGTACCCTGGATCCCAGTGACCCACTAAATGTTACCAGCCATCTTCCTTTTTGTTTGTAAAGGGCGGCAAGCCCTTGCCTACTATAAAGGTAAACGGAGTTTCCTGGAATGGTACTTTGTGTTGGATGGCTCGGTTGCGGGTTCGCCCCTTCAGAGAGCTTCGGATGCCAACTGTTTCGAGAGATGTTCTGACCTGGTATGATATGGTAACGTGGATGCCCGCAAGCAAACCAAGCATACGAAAAATCACAGGTCTGGGTGTTTCTCCAAATAGGGAACCCTAAACATCGTCGGTGCTGATTTGAATTTCCTTTCACTCAGCTGCCAAAAGACGGGGCCCCCCTATTTTGAGACGACCGTCTCTCGCTTTTTTTGGCCGAAGCGCGCCGCTCAACCGACCCCAGCGGTGCCTGCGCGCGCCAAAAGGCGACGGAGGAGGAGGAGCCACAAGGCTTCGTGATCCCTCAGGCCCGGAGCCCCACGGACGGATCGATCAGGGGCCCGTATCAATAAGCAGAGGTTGATTTATATTGGGTCAACATTGCCCGCTTGCTTGAGGGTACCATGTCAACTCGTATTCGGCCAAGGTAGCAAGTTGTTGGCAACCTAGGCTACCCACTAATAATTGGATTAACCCCACTGAACGTTTTTTTTTTTTCAGTGGGTAGTAGCCTAGGTTACCGTTACAACTTACCGCCTTGACCCTTCACACCCAAGAAGGGATCGGTATGTAGCATGGGAGTTTCGAGGACTTTCCTAACCGATCAAACGTGGGAAGCCCAGCTGAGTTTCGGACCTCGCCCTGCAGGAAGGCAAGGTTCCGGGCGCGTTTGTCCCCCGTCCCCTAAAGCCACCCAACTGGTGACTTGTGGTGTCCAGAAGGAAACGCCCGACGGCAAATTCCGTCCCCTGGAGCCACCCAACTTGTGACTTGTGGTTCAAATTCGCCTTCAAAGCTGACAAGAGAAATAGAAAGCGCCAGGCCCGGCCCGTCCCTCGGCACCCCATTAATAAATAGCCTAGATAGCCAAGTGGCTGCATTTTTTTCCAAGTTCATGGAAAAAAGCGATCGCAACTGGCAATCCAGCAGGGGTTTATCCATCCGGGGTCCACATTCGTGGGGTTGACATACCCTCCGGCGGGGTATTCGGAGTGGACCTTCAGGGCCTGGGGCCCCTTCCGCACCACGCCTCCGAGCGCAGCGTGGCCTCGCAGGCGGAGAGTTTTGTTTTTTTTTGCTGCCGTTGAGTGTCTTTTTGTTTAAATGGTGTGTGTGTGTGTGTCTCTGTGTGTCTCTGTGTGTCTCTGTGTGTCTCTGTGTGTCTCTGTGTGTCTCTGTGTGTCTCTGTGTGTCTCTGTGTGTATCTGTGTGTCTCTGTGTGTCTCTGTGTGTCTCTGTGTGTGTGTCTCTGTGTGTGTGTGTGTCTCTGTGTGTGTGTCTCTGTGTGTGTGTCTCTGTGTGTGTGTCTCTCTGTGTGTGTGTCTCTGTGTGTGTGTCTCTGTGTGTGTGTCTCTGTGTGTGTGTCTCTCTGTGTGTGTCTCTGTGTGTCTCTGTGTGTGTCTCTGTGTGTGTCTCTGTGTGTGTCTCTGTGTGTGTCTCTGTGTGTGTGTGTCTCTGTGTGTGTGTCTCTGTGTGTGTGTGTGTCTCTGTGTGTGTGTCTTGTGTGTGTGTCTCTGTGTGTGTGTGTCTCTGTGTGTGTCTCTGTGTGTGTCTCTGTGTCTGTCTGTGTCTGTGTCTCTGTGTGTCTGTCTGTGTGTCTGTCTGTGTGTCTGTCTGTGTGTCTGTCTGTGTGTCTGTCTGTGTGTCTGTCTGTGTGTCTGTCTGTGTGTCTGTCTGTGTGTCTGTCTGTGTGTCTGTCTGTGTGTCTGTCTGTGTGTCTGTCTGTGTGTCTGTCTGTGTGTCTGTCTGTGTGTCTGTCTGTGTGTCTGTCTGTGTGTCTGTCTGTGTGTCTGTCTGTGTGTCTGTCTGTGTGTCTGTCTGTGTGTCTGTCTGTGTGTCTGTCTGTGTGTCTGTCTGTGTGTCTGTCTGTGTGTCTGTCTGTGTGTCTGTCTGTGTGTCTGTCTGTGTGTCTGTCTGTGTCTGTCTGTGTGTCTGTCTGTGTGTCTGTCTGTGTGTCTGTCTGTGTGTCTGTCTGTGTGTCTGTCTGTCTGTCTGTGTCTGTCTGTGTGTCTGTCTGTCTGTCTGTCTGTCTGTCTGTGTCTGTCTGTCTGTCTCGGTCTGTCGGTCTGTCGGTCTGTCGGTCTGTCGGTCTGTCGGTCTGTCGGTCTGTCGGTCTGTCGGTCTGTCGGTCTGTCGGTCTGTCGGTCTGTCTGTCTGTCGGTCTGTGTCTGTCGGTCTGTCGGTCTGTCTGTCTGTCTGTCTGTCTGTCTGTCTGTCTGTCTGTCTGTCTGTCTGTCTGTCTGTCTGTCTGTCTGTCTGTCGTCTGTCTGTGTCGGTCTGTCGGTCTCGGTCTGTCGTCTGTCTGTGTCTGTCTGTCTGTCTGTCTGTCTGTCTGTCTGTCTGTCGTCTGTCTGTGTCTGTCTGTCTGTGTCTGTCTGTCGGTCTGTCGGTCTGTCGGTCTGTCGGTCTGTCGGTCTGTCGGTCTGTCGGTCTGTCGGTCTGTCGGTCTGTCGGTCTGTCGGTCTGTCGGTCTGTCGGTCTGTCGGTCTGTCGGTCTGTCGGTCTGTCGGTCTGTCGGTCTGTCGGTCTGTCGGTCTGTCGGTCTGTCTGTCTGTCTGTCTGTCTGTCTGTCTGTCTGTCTGTCTGGTGGGTGTGTGGGTGTGTGGGTGTGTGGGTGTGTGGGTGTGTGGGTGTGTGGGTGTGTGGGTGTGTGGTTGTGTGGGTGTGTGGGTGTGTGGGTGTGCGGGTGTGCGGGTGTGCGGGTGTGCGGGTGTGCGGGTGTGCGGGTGTGCGGGTGTGCGGGTGTGCGTGTGTGCGTTTGTGCGTGTGCGTGTGCGTGTGCGTGTGCGTGTTGTTTTCCTTTCTTTGTTTCCCTTTCTTCTCCTTTTTTTCTCGGGGGTTGCGGGATGCCTCCGCGGGGATGTGTGGGTGTGTCTTTTTTGTAGACACTCAAAAAGGTTGTGACCCTTTTGTGTCCCATGGAAACCAAAACGAAGGTGCCCTCAAAAATCAAAAACGACCAGGTTGAACCGCCCTGTGAACGGCGTGGCTTTTCTTTGTGTGTCCCTTTCCGCCTGAAGCAAAAGATGACCTAAAGAGGCGATCGATTCGGTACGTCAGGCAAGCGGAGAAGAACCATTGTGAGATAACCCACAAAGCGATTCCAGCGATTCCTGGCTTTTTCAGTCTCCTCAAAACTTGACTGCTAATTATTGGGTTGGATCTTTAAACTTCAACTTGTTGGTTGAGATCTTTCGGGGTTTTCCACAAAACCCGCAAAAAGTGGAGACACTTTTTGCCCAGGGTTCCTTGCAGCAACCAAGAACAAGTGCCACCAACACATCCAGTGCATTAAATGTCTCACGAGCCCAGCTCCCGCGCCGCCAGGCGAAGCTGGCCCGGCGGCACTCGAATCTCAGTGAGGCGAGTCGGGCGAGCGGACGACCACTGCCCCCCAAAGCTGCAAAGACCCAGCCCCGCGGCTTTTCAGTGGGTTTTTGGGGGAAACCCGATGTTTTCAGGGTATTTGTTTGAGCAATTCCATGGTAAATAGCTTCTTTTTTGGTGGAGGGTTGACACCCTGAAAAAGGCATTCCTCGCCATTTTCTCAGTTGCCCAAAGGGTTGACCTTTTGGTGTCCCAATGTTGGTGTTATAGCCCCAACCTTTTATGTGTGACTCCCTTCGGCACCTGAGTTTTAGTTGGATTGAAAGAATGGTCACTTGGATCGCCAGTTGCTGTTTTTTCCCGTGATTTTTACTCAAAAACCAGCAACAGTGACTGCAAAACGCAGCAACTTGGCTATCTAGGTAGCCCAATTTAGATGAAACTCCTCAGGTAAATAATAACGGTGGTTCTCAGTGCTTTAATGGGTTCTTGAACCCCAGACAAAGTCAACCGCCAAAGAAAGAGTGCTCTCTTTTTCTGATGGTCACGTTTGGTGTGGTTGTAGAAGTACATGGCGCGGGGATGTCTACTTTCACCCGACGTTATGAGCTTTTGTTCTTTGTGAGGATCTGTCAAGAGCGCTCCTGTGCCAATATCCCGGGAGGTGCAGTTTTCTTTTCCAACCCTTCACCTATGTGCGCTATGTGCGTTTTCGTATTGCTGAACACGGGGGGCTATTTGATTCATGTTCTTTCACACTCTACAAGCAAGGGGTAGCAACACAGGAACCTTTCTGAGAAACCTCCCGAACCGCCCCCCTTCCCCCGACCTACTGGCGGGTTTGGTAGCTGGTTCTACCCTCCAAAGATGATCGCAACGTTGGCAAAGCCAAAAGATGGCCAGTGAGCACTGCTCACTTCGCGATTTCCCGACGTTTCCAGCAGGTAGCCATTGCCAACCAATTCATCCTCCTTTGTTTGGGACCAACGCCCTCAGGAAAGGAATGAGTCGATCGCGAAGTCGGAAGCTTGTGTATCGACCTGTTCCCACTTTGGCATTGCCATGGCCTGGTGATAAAGGACATGTGGTACAAAAGCCGTAGTTGTACGATTATAGAATCCTTGAGAGGGGTAGGTGCTTGCAAGGGGGATGGGCTGTTGAGAGCCCTATAGGGTTCCCACGGTTCTTTAGAGTTGCTTCTTGAGGACCTTCCCCTTGAACCCCCCCTCCTTAGGCCTTAGAGACTCCATAAGAAGACAATGGGACTATGGGGTCAAATGACTTAATAAGCCGCGGGGCTTAGTTGAGCCACCGTCAAAACCCGGTGGTTGAAGGTTCAGCCAGACATAGCTACGGATATCCGCCCAAGTGGTTCTTTACATTGTCTAGGTCCCCCAGTCGTGCCCTTTTGTCCTTTTTTGGGGGAGGGTTCCCCTACTAAAATAGACTACAGAAAAAAAGGGTACCCTTATTCAAACCTCTCTACTGGAGGACCTGGTTGTCTTGGGTGGAACATGTTCGTACCAGATATTGATTTTCGCTGAACACGGCCATTGTCCACATCACCCCATCTGGGCGGGGCACACGGTGTAGTTGGTTCTGACTTTACCAGCTCGGTGATTGGGCAACCACACTGTTTAACTTACCCATTCCGGGAAACATAGAAGATGAGTATGTGTTCTCAACTTTTCCCGTCCCCATGGCATTAGCAGCTTGTTAGCTCACAAGCTACAGTGGATGCCCAAGCTTTTGCAACCCAGGAACATGGACCCCTCTAATTTGATATTGCCATGGTCTGGTGTCCACCGCTGCCAAGGTGTCTTTCCTTCTTTTTGTTTGTTCTTTCCTTATTTCTGTCTTTATTGTTCAATTGTTTGTATCTTCGTTCATGTATCTGTTTGCTTGCTTGCTTGCTTGCTTGCTTGCTTGCTTGCTTGCTTGCTTGCTTGCTTGCTTGCTTGCTTGCTTGCTTGCTTGGTTTTGCATATACCTGAAACCTCTAGCCACACCCACTTGGCAAACGTAGCTGGAGAATAAGGGCCTTGCTGGGGATCTAGGTACCCTCCAAAAGCATACATCCACATGTGAGCTGATGACCCACGACTTGTCGGCTAGTTTTCTCACAGGGCTCCCTAGATTTCCACCCCACCAAAAGCAGGTACTTAGAGGTTGATCCCTTGCGGCAATCTCCAAAGCACCAATCCCATCCACCAAGTAAGGCTGACCTGACTACTAGGAAAGCTCCCCCCGTTGGTGCTTGCTTTTCTTTGGGGCGTCACTTGCGGGTTTGTCTTTTTGAATCCAAGGCTGCTTCCCCAGTCTCTTCACCTTCAGAACCCGCCAGTTGTCGCTAGGCAACTGCCCCAATTGGAGTAGCATCCCTCTCTAGGTCCCTTCATTTTCCTCCAGATCGTCTGTCAGCAAGCCGAGTAGGCCAAAAAAGGTGTAGGAAACTATGCCATGCCTTGTGTGTCAAAAAAAAGAAAGATCCTCTGTCAGGAGTCAAAAGACAAACCACAAATCCCTTCAATGCGCTTCGCAGGCCTCAGAGGCTGACTCAGATGCCTCGGACTCTGAGGCGCGGTTGGCGCGGGAAGCGCGGCGAGTTAGCAGCCGAAAGCTTTGGGCGGAAAGCGCGCCCCTGCCGCCTTTTTGTTCGGGTTTCAGCCCCTGGAAAAGGTGCGGCGGAAGTCGACTTGAGGCATTTCAGGAACTTGTTGTTTACCACAAAACCTGTCCAAACTTAAAAAAGTTATAAATGACAGGTCAATATCTTGGGAGGCTGCCTCGACTTCATACCCTTTTAGGTTTGGACTCCAATTTGGTGCTAAACAACTTGCCTGGACCCCCAAAAGGACCCCTTTTTTCTGCCTTTGACCCCAAAAAAAGGGGTACAAAGGCAGAAATAAGGGGTCCTTTGGGGGTCCAGGTAGCCAGGCACAAGTTCCTGGACTGTTTCTGCCCCGGTCCGCTCCGAAAGTCCATCTCTTTCGGTGGCCCATGCAGCTTTCGATGACTCCCCATGCCAACAGCCTCTCGCAACCAGCCCAGGATGCAAGGAACAGCAAATCCCCAGAGCTTCCTCAAGGCTCAATAAAAACAAGAAATTAATTTTGCCACCATTTGAAAAACATGGCCGTTTTTTTCAACACGGGCATATTTCGTGAAACTTCCACTTAATTACAAGTTGCAATGTTCAGGTGTAGAAGGCATCCGGATCCAGCGTTCGTTGCGTGGAACGGCAAATCCCCACTGCTGCCTTTTCAAGTGTTTTTTTTGTTTTTTGTTGTTGTTGCTTTGTTTCTTTCTTTCTTTTTTATAGTTTTTTTTTTTTTTAGACTTTTTGCAGAGGGGTCCTTGCAGCCACCAAGTCAACGCCTTTTTCTTCTTTTTTGGGAGGCGGCCTCCTCGGGGGGCTTCAGCTCCGTCTTCTCCGAGCGCTCGGGGTGCGAGACGGAGGCAGCCCCCAGGCGGAGCACCTCAGAGGCGCGCATCCGCGCTCCGCCGCGCGGAGCGCATGCGCGCGAGTCGTTTCTGCAAGTGGCTCTCACTTCCTGAGTCGGTGCACTTTAAACTTTTTGGAAAGACAACTTTAGTGGTAAATAAGAAGTTCAAGCTTTTTTTGGCCAGTCGACTTAGGAAGTGAGGGTTTGAGAAGGGCACCCGGATCCCCAAGTAGCCACCATTAGCCACCTTTTTCCATTTATGGTTGGAATTGTCCCGAACCTTCACTTTTCCGGGTTTTGATGGATCAGGGGTCCCTTTCCCTTTTTGGTAGTGTTATTTCCAGGCACTTTACCCGCTAGTAGCCCAGAATCTGGCAAAGTAGCTAGAAAATAAGAGCAACTGGAGATCCAGGCATGTGCTACCCTTCCGACTTTCAGGACTCTCTCGCTCTCTCTCCACTCTCTCTCTCCCTCTCCTTTTGCAAGAGGATCTCAGATGGACTTTCTCTCTCTCTCTCTCTTCATTCCCAAGAGGATCTCACATGGACTTAACAGGTTGATGGTCAAAGCCCGCCCCAATTGGAGGCCATCTCGTTCCGGAGCTGGGGTCGGTGTCAATCTCTAAAGATGGACGGATGGACGGATGGCTGGATGGCTGGATGGCTGGGTGGCTGTGGCTGGATGGCTGGATGCATGTGTGGATGGATGGCTGGATGATGAATGGCTGGATGGATGGGTGGCTGGATGGCTGGCTGGATGGATGGATGGATGTATGGATGGGATGGATGTATGGATGGGATGGATGTATGGATGGGATGGAGATGGAGGGAGGCAGGGAGGGAGCGAGGCAGGGCTGGAGCCTTGTCTTTCTACTTGCTGGGCTTGGTTGCCACGTTAGTGGCAACCAAAGTTAGCAGACTTTTGACGAATCCACTCGAGGGGACGTGAGCCAAACTTCCGTAGGACGGCGTGCGGAGAGCTTTGCGTGTCCAACGTGAAGTCCTACTGAGCCTATTTCACCAGCCTCACGTCCTTGAGTTTACGCTTGCCTTTGACATTGGGGGGGGGGGGTTGTGGTAGTATCCATTGTGGGAACTACATGGAAAACAGCAGTTTTGGGGGAAGCGCAGTTTTCACACACCTATTTCTCCTGGCGGAGTGGACAGACTCATGCACGAGTTCTTGTCGATACTAACCAGCTACCACTCGTGCAAAGTGGTTTTATCCAACCATCGCCTGGCGCATTGCAACACCTTGCTGTTTTCTTCTCAGGGAGTCCCCAGGAAGCCTGCGAATGGCCTGTGTCAGTTTCCAAACCCACGCCTCCAGTGGTTTCCGTGTTTTGTCCAACGTTGTTTGTGATGGAAGGCCCTCTTTTCCGTCAAGCGACCACAAAAGTGGTTTACGTTTTTGTTGGAGGCCCCTCGTTTCCTTCAAGCGCTCAAAAGAGAGGGAGAGAGAGAGAGAGAGAGAGAGAGAGAGAGAGAGAGAGAGAGAGCCAACGAGCCAACGAGTCGGCGTAAAGATGTGTTTGTCCGTTGGCCAAGCTGGTTGGCCATGAAAAAGCCACTCACTTGCAAAACGAATCGAGCGGAGCTAACCTTTAGCTTTCCCTGATTTGGTCCATGTGGGTTTGTCTCGCGGGGAACCTCCTAAAAGGGACGGCGTCCTTTTGGTTTCCTGGAGAAAAAAAAAGCGACACCAAAAAGGTACCCTCAAAAAGGACTTCCCATACAAAATGAAATCCTCCCAAAGAAGACGCAACCACCCAAAGAGAAGGCATCCCTGGAGCCTCAAACTATCCATTAAAAAGGTGAGTTCACCACAAATTTGGGTTGCGATCACATATTGTTCTGGGTAGTTCTTTCGGGTCCAGGCACTGCGCACACTTGCAAAATCCTCTTGTAGGCACTACCTAAGAAATCCTGGTTTCGATGATTTTCCAGCGGAAATACCAATACACGTTATGGTTTCAACTGCATGGTGGTTCGAGATTTGCGGATTTCGTCCAGGTACCCACAGTAGTCTCAGGGGTACCTCAAAAGTGATCACTCTGAACCATAAACTTGAGTTGGAATCACCCATCTTTATTCTTCGGGTCCAGGTTTCCTTTTGGTTTCCCAAGAACAAACGACACCAAACATAGTACCCTCAACAAAGACCCATAATCCTCAGCGGTGCCCAAAAGTGATCACCCTTTATTACCAACCATAAACTTGAGTTGCCACCACCCATCTTTATTCTTCGGGTCCAGGTTTGCTTTTCGTTTCCCAAGAAAACCGACACCAAACATGGTAGCCACCATCCATAAGTTTGGGTTGCAATCACCCATTTGTATGGGTCGTTTCTTCTTTTGGCCCAGGGAGGCCATATTTCCTCAAGATACCGCGTGCCGAAGCTTCGCTTCCGAGGATGGACGTGCATAACCAGGGCGTGCTGGAGGCGAATGACCTGGAGCGGGCCTTGCGGTCTGTGGGCCAGCACCCGGCGCGTGCCCAGCGTCTTGGGCTGAGGGAGCCGTGGACAATCGCTGTATCACAGAAGTGGGTGTGGCTCAAAATTAAACAGGAGGGGTTACGCAGGTTTTGGTCCATGTTTCCACTTACCAGGGTTCCATTTTGGCACCGGATTTTTGAGCCACAGCCAAGTGGGGACAAACCCCGAGTGATCAGCCGCAACCCTGAGGCTTACTAACTACGCACCTGACGTACACGAGCGATCGCCCCCTTGTATCACAGGATGCTATGCCCCCCCCCCCAAAGCTCCCCCGCAAATCCGGAGTTCCAGAATAAGGCCTCATGAAGCTAATTTGGATCTCAGGATTTTTTTTTTTTGGGGGGGGGGGGCATAGCATCCTGTGATACAAGGGGCGATCGATTCGGTACGTCAGGTGAGTGGTTAGTAAGCCTCAGGGTTGTGGGATCACTCGCGGTTTATCCCCACTTCTGTGATACAAGCGAATCTTCTCCTTATATGGGGTTAGCCCTTGGGAAGCCCTTTTGGTTGTATCACCGACGTGGTCACTTCCCACAACCCTGGGAAGCCTGGTTCTAGCCCTCTGAACGGAGACTTATAACCATGGCTTTTTTGGGTTATAACCATGGTTTTTATCCATTTACTCAGTACCCGAACCGCTTTTTTGGTTGTACCAGGCGGATTTTGGTTGTATGCTTGAAAATGCAGGTTTGGTAATTGGGAATGCTGGCCTTGTGGGTTGCCAATTGTAGTGGAAGGTCACCTCATATATTTCTGGGGCCCGACTGAGTTGTCAGACATGCGGCGCCCAGCTCCTCTCTGTTGAAGGAGACCTAGTCCAAATCAAGCTTAGTTACCCTTAAGTGAATTGCAAGCCCTTGAGCAAATGGGAAGCTCCCCCCCAAAGAAAAACACATTTCAATCGACCTTGGGTAAATGAGTAAGCTCCCCCCAAAAAAAACACCTCCAAAGCCATCCACGAAGGCTTAAAAGCACAGAGAGTCAGCCCCCTTGTTGCAGCCGGGTTTCGGGGTATGCGAGGGCTATTCCACCAAGCATCCAGTCGGGTCTAGATGAACCCCGAAGGAGCTTTGTTGGCTTCACTGCTTTGCTTCTGGGTCTGAGGTTCCAGGCAGTTGGTCCCAAAAAACGAAAAGCCGGACTTGGAAACCAAGAAACATCAAGGGAGGAAGCGGATTTGAAGTCTGCGCCCGACTTGTTCCGTGGAAATCCAGTGGTTGAGCTAAGGGTGGAACCTGAACATCACGGTTTTCGGGAAATCTGGACTCGAGTTTCCAGCTTGATTCGTCTGAGCGGCTTTTGCGCCCAACTTCCCAAAGGGTTCACCCGGACCCTCAAACAACCCAGACAAAACAAGGGAATCCACCCCATGTGGTTTGGGCTGACAAGGCCAAGTGTTGTATGGCGAGCCATTGGGTTCGTGCCCATATAGGTCTTCCATTTGCTTAAGAATATTTTGGTTTTTAAGGGAATCTGTCACTACTGGACTTTTTTTATTTTCCCCAGGAGACTCAAGCAAACGGAAGAGGTGAAACCCAGTTTCATAACCATGCGCTGCCCACTTAGTAGGTCAAATCCGCTCAGGTTAGAATAATTGTAAGGACTTAGAATAGGACCCACTTATTGGTTTAAGGGTGGGCTTAGGGTTGTTTTAGGGTTGTTTCAGGTTTAGGGCTGGTTTCGGGGTAGGTTTCGGGCTTTTCGGGATATTCATGATGGAACCAGGGGCTGTTTGCCCCTGGTATCCGACCTCTGGGCGACAGAGAGAGCCTCAGGAAGCTGATCGCTGCCGCGGACGAGAACTGCAACGGCCCGGGACCCGGGGACCCGGGGACCCGGGAGTTGGGGGGGGGGGGCAGCGGCGGCTTGGGAACGACGCCCAGACGGGGGAAAGGCCCTGGAGCCGAAGAGATGTGTCTTGGAATAGTGATCCCGAGTGGATGAGTTTTCTAGTAGCCGCACTATTTTTTTTGGTTCAGGGGAATCGTCGGAAACCATTGTGTTTTAGGTAGTGCGATTTCTGGATTCGCAACCATCCCACCGTATTTATTCGGACTCCCTGCCCGGAAAATCCCTCGGGGGTTAGGCAAGTTGGTCCAGATGTGAGGGGGGCCCTGCACACATTCATACTTGCGGACGCCAGATGAGGCAAAAGAAAGGAGCCTTGCAGAATTCACATGCACTTTGGTAGTGGGACAAATCAACACTTCAGCAAGCTGATTGGATTGTTCCTAGATTCGCCCGGGACTTAAGGCCACCGTTCAGACACCTGGTTTCCGATGTTTCCCCCAACACAATTTCTTTAAAAAAAATGGTTTCTCATGATTCCCGCAGTAATTCCAACAAACGTTTTGGTTTCAGCTCCATGGTGAACCCTTTTGTGGTGCAAGTGGTTATAAGTCTCATGAGTGAGTTATATCCAGGCTTACCAACCGCTTACCCTGACGTACTGAATCGATCGCCGCTTTTCGGTACCGGTGTTGGTTTCTTGCCGCATGGGAGACAAAACCCATGCCAGGCAAGGTGGAAATCGCCGAGTGGACCCACGTGGTGGACCGTGCCTTGGTCTGGCTTCTCCCAGGTCCCCCAGCTAGGTGCCCTTCTCACCCGTTTCTTTTTTGGTTGGGAGGGTTCCCCTACTAAAATAAACTACAGAAAAAAGATGGTACCCTTATTCTAACCACTCAATTCTGGAGGACTTAGTCTCATATCCCGCCAAAACCTTCCCAACCCCTTTTCCGGTGGCCTCCAAATCAGACCACTGATGCTGTGGGTGGAGGAATTCCTGCATGGAAACTGTGGGAAACCATGTTTCATTTTGTATTATACAGGGGAATCATCAGAAACCAGGGTTTTCGTCCATCCACAGTAGTAAGGCCTTTATAGAGTTGTATTTGGAAACCAGGCAGAGGGGCGTTGGGGAGGGTTCTCATACAGGTTCCATCCGTAGCTGTGTTCTATTGCCAGTTGAAAACGCATTCCCTCTACACCGTCGCTTACTGAAGTGTAAGACGTGCCATGTTGGTAGCTGGAAAACCGGGTCAGCTTCCAAACGCGCAGGTTTCAAAGAGGGCTTTACATCTGGCCGCAACCGAAACGTTGCCTTTCAGCCACCCGTTGTTGAGTCGTCAAAACGGTGCTCCGATGTTTAAAGTGGCCGCCGAAGGGCAAAGTATTGTCAATTGCGCAGTAGTGCCCTTTTACCCTTGTTTTTTTTGGGAGGGTTCCCTTACTAAAATAAACAACAGAACAGGGTACCCTTATTCTAAGCTCTCAAATCTGGAGGACGTAGAAAAAACGCTGCGTCACCCGTTGGTTTGTGGGTGCTCGGACATGGCGGAATTTCTCACCGTTCGGAAAGGGGACGCGTTTTTTTCGGCTGTTTGGAGGCCTTCCGAGTTGATCCACATTGGGTGGGCCTCCTCACCCAGAGGGTCGAAGTATTTTCTAAGTACTTGGGCCCCATTTGTCCTCCCAAAAGCCATCCTCGTGAGGTACCAAAAAGGCCCTCTTGAGGTCACCACCATCCGAAAGGAGCCTCAAAAACGGACGCCAAAGGCGGCGAACTCTCCCAACCATGGGACCTCACTGGCAGTTCCACGCTCGCCGGTTTCAGGGTGAATGGGTGCGTCTTTTTGTTTTTCTTCGTATTTGTTTGTGGAAAACCTAGAGGAAAGCGCGATCCTAGCTCCAATTCTCGCAAAAAAGACCGTCAAGTTGTTGCTTTCTTTGCCAGGCACCCTATCTCGGATCGCTGTGCGATCGGGTCGTTTCAGTGAGACGATCGACCGCGTGACCGCAAATCACTTCAGGCCCAGGCCCGTTTTGGGTGCAGTTTGGGAGTACTGGGAACTGGAAAGAGACGGCCTTTTGGGGAACGCCGCATGCAACTCCAAGCAACTTGAGATTGTGGCCTAAACCTAAGGCTGGACCCTCAAACTTCCCAACACTGGGCTGTTTATGGGGTGATTTTTTAATACTTTTTTCATAGGTAGTTTGAGGGTTCAGGGGCACATATGTCCTTGTGATCACTAACCCGACCTTGTCATTCGCTTCGAGGGAATGTGGGTTGCATTCCGTTCTTTTCACGTGGGTTTATCTCAAAATGGGGTTCGGAACCCCCAAAATGCGTGGTATGCCTTTGTTTGCCCCTTCAAACGCCACCAAAAAGGGTACCTGAACCCTCAAACTTTGATTAAAAAAGGGAATTCACCCCGTATGTTTGGGCCGGCAACCCATTTTTGCTTGTGTAGTTGGAGGGTCCAGCTACTTCACTCGGGAGAAAAAAAAGGGGGCACAAGCCGACGCCTGTTTTCAAGCCGCGATGCCGCGAGCAACCGAGTGTTCGGCTCGAGGCTTAGTCGCGGGCAAGGGCAGCGAGGCGATGCAGCACTTCACCACGGCCCTGGTGAACCAAAACCAGCGGGGGCCCCAGGGCCCTTGACGCCGTTCTCGGTGTCGGTTTTTTGGGTTTCGTGGTTCGGTGTTCGAAGACTCTCTGAGGTCACCTCACTTCCTGAGTTCATGAACTTTAAACTTTTGGGGAAGACCTTTGTAGTAGTAAACGAAAAGTTTGGACTTTTTTGGGGCCATCCACTCAGCCGGTGAGGGTCTGGAAGTCTCAGAAATTCGCAAGCTTTAGAGATGTGCCGGTTTGGTATATATCAAGCTCAGATGGTCTTGGCCCGGAGCGAGTTTCTGAACTCAAAATTCTGAGCAGGAATTTTGAGTGTTTGGAGCAAAGACAGTAAGTGGCCCAGAAAGCACAAGAGAGTGAACTGCTGGGCCAAGCCACTCAGAGAGCTGGCGTCACTATCCTGACTTTTTCTGGGGGTATCAAGGTCATGCTCCACAGACAAACATCTCTTTATACATATGGGGTCGCGGTATCCTCTGGAATTCGATTTCTGGTTTTGTTTCGGGTTGCAAAGGCAGACATCAAACTTTTTTGGTTCATTGGGACTGTGAAGGATCAGGTACCCCCCAACTCGCTTCCTGAGTTACTGGGCTTGAAATTTGCTGGGAAGACCCTAGTGGCAAGCAACCAGTTGGAACTTGTGGACAACCCAACCGGAAAGTGAGCTTCATGGTTTGGATCTTCTGAACCCGTGACCGGCTCCAAGCCACCCGTGAGGGACGCCGATCCACCAACTCCAAGTGCCCGCCTGTTTTGATCCTTGGGTATCATGTCAACCTGTTGACTGGAATACGGAGGTATTTCCCATGGAAAGGTGGGGTCGGCGGAAAGCCGAGCCAAGCCGCGGGCCGTCCTCCGAAGCGATCGCCCGGCTCAGGCACTTGCCGAAGGCGGGCTCCTCCTACGCCCCGCGGCCGGGAAAACCGGAAGACCGGAAAACCCCCGCAGCAAAAACCCGCTTCTAGGGTGCCGCAAATGCAACCAAAGCAAATCGACCCAATCTCTCGCCTCGGTCCGGTTTCCCTTTGGGCAACCAGTTAAAAAGTCATGGCCGCAAATGATGAACGCCCTTTGTCACCAACTTTGTTTGGCTCGGCTCCTTTGGGAATGCCCCAATAGTGTCAGTGAGCTTCCGTTCTTCCTTTCTCCGTGGAAGGGCTTCCCTTGATAAGCTCAACCCATGAAAATCGGGGGTGAAGTTTCAGCCAGAGACTAAAGAGTCAGGCAGGGACTGCGAGAGTTTCAGGGTGCTCTGGGGATTCGGGAGGCTTTAGCTCCTTTTGAGATCTGGGAATGAAGCTAGGAATGAAGCTAGTTTTGGTGGCCTAAAGTTGGTTTTGGTGTACTGCTCGCTTGGGTGCATATCCCACCAAAAGACCCCCAAATCAAGATGTTGGTGGTCTAAAACTTGTTTTGGGACACCTTTTGAGGGCACTTTGCTTGGGTACACATATATATATATATATACATATTGCAGGGTTCCACCAAAAGGGACCCACGCAAGCTCCGAAGGGCAGGGTGCATATCTTCCCGGGTTTGCTAAGAGCATGCAAATTTGATTACTCTGGTTGTCAATTCCGAAAAAACCCATGGAACGCCCCTTAGATACAAAGCCCCGTCTTCCATAGAACCCACGCCAGAGTCCTTTTAGATGTGGTTTGCTTAGAATGCTCTACCTGTGCTGCTAGCTCACTAGTTGCTTGGAAGGGAGACAAGCTCAGTGTATCTGACTTGTCCATGGCCTGTCAGAGCTGCCGGAGAGTTCTTAGGTTGGCATGGGTTGTTTTGCTGGTGCGAGAGATGCAGGGAGTGAGACGTGGAATGACCCCGAGATACACCATCCATCCCATCGCGGCATGAATCACACTCACCGAATGAGAACCTGCTGATGAACTGTGGCTTTCTGGTTCTCAGAAGGGAATGAGTTGGAATGAGCCCGAGATAAACCATCCATCCTGTGGGTTTCCTTCTCAGGGAATCCCCAAAACCAGTTCATTCCCAACACCCGGAAGCAAGGTCATTCCCTACCTGTCGCCCATCGCAAGTTATGCTCGACATGGCAACCATAGGTGTCCTTTTTGGTTATATAACTTGGTTAAAAAATAGAGGGCGATTCCCGGTTTACCTTGTGGTTCAATCAACTGCCAGGGCCGTCTATTTCCCAAAAAGGACACCTATGATGGTAACCTTGTTGCGTTTCTTTCCAGCCAAGGACGAGAGGTCACAGCAGCGGAGAGTGTGTATCTCCTGTCAGCACCTTGCCAGGGGTTTTTTTGGGCTCCGTTTCAAGGGCCATGTCTTACTTCCGGCGGCGGGACATCAGAAGGACACAAAGGGCCGCCAAAATATCAGGGCATGCTCAGTGTGAGACCTGAATAACAACCTAGATAGCCAAGTTGCTATTTTTGTTCAGGCACTGTTGCTGGTTTTTGGGGTAAAGTTCATGGGGAAAAAAAAAACAGCAACTGGCGGTCCAGGAAGTAATGCCAAACGCACGTGCCGGAGTGACATGTGTTTCTTTTTCTCCAGGTAAAGCCGGGGCCAAAAGATTGCGGCAAAGGACCTACTCGAAATACCCTTAGCAACCAGAATTCAGCTTGTACAGTGGGATTTCCCATTGGCCGTGTTCAAAGGTGACCGGCTCTATTGCAGTTGCATGGTTAAAGGGATGCAGTCGATTGGCGCATTCGAAAGTCGTAAGCCGAACGAAGCCACTTTCATTCTGTTATTCCATCCCGAAAGGCCCGCAGTAGAGTCTTAAAAGAATGGGGGAACCCCAAAATAATGGTTTTCCGTTTGGTTTCCCTTTGGATGCGTCCAAAAAGGGTACCCTCAAAAGAAGACCAGCCCATGTACACCCCCACGGAGGTCCTGGCTGGTTGGTCCCGTGCGCCAACCACGCCTTTGGATTCAAAGCATAGTGCTAACTTCTAGTTGTCTACAAACAGCTGGTCCTGAGTGGAACAACGTATGGCCCCGGTCAATGCGTCGGGGTCCTCTTGGGTCTGTTACACCGGCAAAGCGTCAAAAAACACCCCCTGGGCTCACAGCTGCCTTTGCCTCTCTCGTCTCGTTTGCGCGATGCAAACGATGCGAGTGGAGGTGTGCCTGCCGAGTGGAAGGAGCTGCTCCGTTGAGCTCTCGCCGGAGGCGCGCGTCCGCGAAGTCAAGGCGGAGGCGCAGCGGCTGTTCAAGTGCCGCTTTCTTCGGCTGGCGTTTGGAGGTCGGCCGCTGGAGCTGTCGTCGACTTTGAGTGAGGTTGGCGTGCGAGATGGGGACAGCGTTGACGCCGTAGTGCAGCCCGCCAGGATGGCTTCCACTCCGAACGCGTTTGCACTTTATGTCGCAGGAGGCTCTGTGGTGACTTGGGGCGATCTGGGCAAGTAACAGCAGCCAGGTGCGAGAGCAGTTGGTGGGGGTTCAGCAGATCCAGGCAACTGGGTTTGCTTTTGCCGCCGTTTTGCATGATGGCTTTGTGGTGACCTGGGGCATGTCTGAATGTGGTGGTGACAGCAGCCAGGTGCAAGAGCAGCTGGCTCGTGTCCAGCACATCCAAGCAAGCTGGTACGCATTCGCGGCCATTCGGGAGAACGGCTCTGTGGTGACCTGGGGCATTCCTGACTATGGTGGTGACAGCAGTCGGGTGCGAGACCAGCTGGTGCACGTTCAGCAGATCCGCGCAACTGCGCGTGCTTTTGCTGCCATCCTGGAGGACGGCTCGGTGGTGACTTGGGGCGATCCTCGCTATGGCGGTGATAGCAGCTGGGTGCAAGAGCAGTTGGTACGGGTCAAACAGATCCAGGCAACTCCGGAAGCTTTCGCTGCAATCTTGGAGGATGGCTCAGTTGTGACCTGGGGTAATCCAAGTGCGGGTGGTAATAGCTTCCCGGTGCAAGAGCAGTTGTTGCAGGTGGTGCACATTCAAGGAAATCATTTTGCCTTTGCTGCAATCCTGCACAACGGCTCTGTTGTGACTTGGGGCGATCCTGACTTGGGTGGTGACAGCAGCCAGGTGCAAGAGCAGTTGGTGGGGGTTCAGCAGATCCAAGCGACTTCGTCGGCTTTTGCTGCCATCCTGCTTGATGGTTCTGTGGTGACCTGGGGCAGTCCTGACTGTGGTGGTGACAGCAGCCCGGTGCGACAGCAGCTGGCGCGTGTCCAGCATGTCCAGGCAACCTGGCATGCTTTCGCTGCCATCCTGGAAGACGGCTCTGTGGTGACTTGGGGCAGGCGCAAGTGTGGTGGTGACTGCAGCCAGGTGCGAGAGCAGTTGGTGGGCGTCCAGCAGATCCAAGCAGCACACCAAGGTGCTTTTGCTGCCATCCTGGCTGACGGCTCTGTGGTGGCTTGGGGAAGCTCGAGGCATGGCGGTGACAGCAGCCAGATTAGCACCGAGCTCGACTGGTTGTGAGACAAGGAAGTTTGCCTACCCGGGTTCTCGATGATGCCACTGCTTTGGATCGTGCAAAAGCCAATCCTTACCCCCTACTCCAAAGTGCCTTTTTGTTCACTGTAATCTTAATTTGAAAAAACAACTGGGTTTCCGTGAGAAATGCCTCCACGTTTAGTAAATAATCGGCATCATACCCTGAAAACAGCTTGGTATTTGCAGCTTTCAGTGGTTTTTTTCTGCGAGAGTGACGTGGCTTCTGCCGGATGGATTGGGATCTGGCAGGCCAATGCCACTTGCAACGATAATATGTTCTTGGGTTTCTTTGCGACATGTTTTGGGCAACCTACATAGTTTTGGGCAATTCCCTTTTGACCCACCTGGTTCAAGGTTTGGTTGCAGCTACTTTTAGCCTAACAATCCTGGAACCGAGAGGCTCCCTTGCAGAGGAACATCTCTGGGCATTGTCCTTTTGGCTCACATGATGTCACATGCACATGTAACCGGAATCACTGGTCTCGCAAAGGGCATCGTGTGAAGCATGCGAGAACAAACAACGTGTTTTGTTTTAAGGGTTGATACTGTGGATGGACGACATCCATTTTGCACCACTCGGAAACCATGGTGTTTATGTTGGGGAATCACCTCAAACCATTGTTTCTCGGGTGGTGCAAAAAGCAGCTGTTGCAACCATCCCCAGTATTTCTGAACCCTCAAACTACCCAAAAAAAAAGGCAATCACGCCATACATTTGGGGCAAGAACCCGTTTTTACGGGTAATTTGAGGGTCCAGTTCCAACCCCCTACTCCAAATAATTACCCGCCTTTTTTAGTTTTGTGGTTTTTCCCGAAAGCATGGCGAAGGGTTCTTCCGCTGGGTTCACTTGAGTTGTTCTCATGAGAGTCATTACAAGGTGTCATTGCAAGGAATCATCATCATGAAAGTCATTGCAAGGAGTTCTTGCAAGGAGTCATTGCAAGGAGTCATTGCAAGGAGTCATTGCAAGGAGTCATTGCAAGGAGTCATTGCAAGGAGTCATTGCAAGGAGTCATTGCAAGGAGTCATTGCAAGGAGTCATTGCAAGGAGTCATTGCAAGGAGTCATTGCAAGGAGTCATTGCAAGGAGTCATTGCAAGGAGTCATTGCAAGGAGTCAAGGAGTCATTGCAAGGAGTCATTGCAAGGAGTCATTGCAAGGAGTCATTGCAAGGAGTCATTGCAAGGAGTCAAGGAGTTGCAAGGAGTCATTGCAAGGAGTCATTGCAAGGAGTCATTGCAAGGAGTCATTGCATTGCAAGGAGTCATTGCAAGGAGTCATTGCAAGGAGTCATTGCAAGGAGTCATTGCAAGGAGTCATTGCATTGCAAGGAGTCATTGCAAGGAGTCATTGCAAGGAGTCATTGCAAGGAGTCATTGCAAGGAGTCATTGCAGTTGCAAGGAGTCATGGCATTGCAACTTGCACTTGACTCCTTGCACTTGCAACTTGCACTTGACTCCTTGCACTTGCAACTTGCACTTGCTTGCACTTGCAACTTGCACTTGGCTTGCTTGCACTTGCAACTTGCACTTGACTCCATGCACTTGGCTCCTTGCAACTTGCAATGGCTCTCATGACTCCTTGCAATGACTCCTTGCAATGACTCCTTGCAATGACTCCTTGCAATGACTCCTTGCAATGACTCCTTGCAATGACTCCTTGCAATGACTCCTTGCAATGACTCCTTGCAATGACTCCTTGCAATGACTCCTTGCAATGACTCCTTGAAACAAGCAAGGAGTCAAGTGCAAGTTGCAAGTGCAAGGAGTCAAGTGCAATTGACTTGCGAGGAGTTAAAATCTCTTCTTAGGGCGGCGGGGTAGTGCCGACGACACTACACGAAAATCGACCCTCTGCGGGGATCGGCGTGGTCGAGGTGCAAAAACCCATGTTTTTTTTTTACGATTTCTAAAGTTCCCGCGCGACCCTCTGCGGGGATTGGCGTGGTCGAGGTGCAAAAACCCATGGTTGTTTACGATTTCTAAAGTTCCCGCGCGACCCTCTGCGGGGATCGGCGTGGTCGAGGTGCAAAAACCCATGGTTTTTTGCGGTTTTTAACATGCTCGCGCGACCCTCTGCGGGGATCGGCGTGGTCGAGGTGCAAAAACTCGAGGTTTTTTGCGATTTCTGCGGTGCTCGCGCAACCCTCTGCGGGGATCGGCGTGGTCGAGGTGCAAAAACCCATGGTTTTTTTTGCGATTTCTGCGGTCCTCTGCGGGGATCGGCGTGGTCGAGGTGCAAAAACTCGAGGTTTTGCGACTTTTATTGTTCGATCTGGTCCTCGGGAGTTGTCTCGTGGTTCGCGCGCCTGCTCCCGGAACCGGCGGGTCGCGGGTTCGATTCCTCCCTGGTCCGCGGGCGGGCGTCGCAAGATGCAACTTGCATTTTTAAAGCAACTTGCGCAGAGCAACTTGCGCAGAGCAAGTTGCACAGAGCAACTTGCGCAGACCAACTTGCACCGACCAGTTTGCGCAGAGCGCCTTGCCTAGAGCAACTTGCGCAGAGCAACTTACGCAGAGCAACTTGCACAGAGCAACTTGCACAGAGCAGCTTGCACAGAGCAACTTGCAGGGAGCGCAATTTGCACAGAGCAACTTGCAGGGAGCCACTTGCAGGGACCAACTTGCCGGAGCAACTTGCGCGGAGCAACTTGCGCAGAGCAACTTGCACAGTGCAACTTGCGTAGAGCAACTTGCGCAGACCAACTTGCACCGACCAGTTTGCGCAGAGCACCTTGCCTGGTGCTGTCTCGCGCTTGCTTCACGAATGCTTCGTGTAGGGAAAAAGAACGCATCCTGCAGCGTTGGGCCGACCTCGCTTGCGATGTTCTGCTTTCGGGCCAACCGTGGTCTAGTTATGGTTTTTGCAAACCTGGTTTTCCAGGGTAGATACCTCCTTTTTTGGTCAAGGATCAACATCATGTCCTAAAAAGTGGGTACTGGGTGTGGAACCATCAGGGGGCCTGGGGTGCTTGGCTTTGCGCTTCGGCACGTCGCTTAGCTTGCCGTCGAGGAACCCATTTCGTATGGCCTGGGACTTACTGCTGCTCACCTTGCTGGTCTACATCGCCGTACCTCGCGGCAAGAAGGGAAAATTGAGGCATCGGAAGGGGCGGTTTGTTTGTTATTTTGATTTTTATGTGTTGTTTTGGGTTTTTTTTGAGGCGGGGGCGTGTTTTTCTTGTTGTTGGGGAGGGGGGGCGGGGGCGTGTTTTTTGTTGTTGTTGGGAGGGCGTGGTTTTGTGTGTGTTTGTGTTTTTTTTTTTTTTTTTTTTCGGGGGCACGTTTTTTTTTTGGAGGGGGGGAGGGGGGGGGGGGGGGGTCAGATTCCGGGTGCAAAAGAACATCAACGCCAATTCGACAAACCCATTTAGCCACATTTACACTCATGGGTATGATCCAAATCTGGGGCCCCAGTAAAAACCAAGGTTGTCCGTGTGGCTCCTGAATTAAACCAAGAAGTACAGGGAAACTTGTGTGGTAGGTGAAAGGTGCATCCCAGTGTTCGACTTCGAGCACCCGAAACTGACATGGCTCAAGTTCAGCCGGGTGCAGTGCTACCTCCCGTTTCGCAACACAGGGTTGTTTAATCCCCAGATTAACATGGCACCCAAACAAAAAGCACCATTTGAGGAACGAAAGGTTACCTACTACAACTGGAAGCATTGGGTTCAACCAAAATCACTGGTTTAGGTTTACTAAAGTATGGAGTACCGATTGAACCTAGGGTTGAGCGTGGGCTGCAAGGAGAAAGTGTTACGTTTGCCACATATCAAGGCTTGACAGTCTTTGTGTTGTATGATGCTTGTTTGTTTGGCTGATTGACCAAAACAAAGCGATTTGGCCCTTGACTCCATAGCTTGTCCGTTCCAAAAGTGTACAGGGCCCTCCCCATTTTGAGAGCGGGTGCGCAACCCTAAACCCTAAACCCTAAACCCTAAACCATTTACCTGGATCGCCAGTGGCCGCTTTTTTCCATGAGCTTTACCCCAAAAACCGATCGCAACAGTGACTGAGAAAAGCGATCGCAGCTTGGCTTTTGCCAAGTCCAAGGTGGTTCTTCCGTACATCCTGGCATACCTCAACGAAACCAGCTTCCACCGCTTCGTAAGCGCTGCTTTGGCCGCAGGGATGCCCCATGTCGGTTTGTAGGGCAACCGTGATGGGTGTGTCGTTTTTGCAGGGTACCCCTTTTGGAGTGGTTTTAAACGGAAATCAAGACCTGCAGTCTCCATGACCCTTAAACAAACAGTGGTTGCCCAAAAGAATGGTTGGTCATTGATCCATATTTGATTCGGGTCAGAAGGAGAATCTAGGTAGGAACACCTTTTGGGGCTTCCTTTGGCCATTTGACCAGCAATTTCCAGAGTGGCCGATTTCTGCTTCTCGAAATGGGTAGCTAGCCCCCTTTTGGCAGGGGGATGAAGAGGAAACCCACCGCACCCCTCTTTTTGACTGCTATTGGGTTGGATCTTTAGACTTTAACTTTTGGGGAAATCAAGCAGTTTTCCACTAAACCCCCAAAAGGTTAAGCTGGTTGCAGGGGGGTCAACAGCAACCAAGTATTGAAAAGCCACTTTGTGGAGGAGTTTGTGGGTGTCACTGCCCGCTGATTTGCTTCAGAGCTTCGCGGGAGTTCTTGAGACCTGTCCGTGAACCACCAATTTTTAAGTGGGGTTCCAAGTCTCCCGCATTTCGAGACAAGCCGAGAAAACTTACCCTTCTTGAAAAGGATAAGCCCCATCCACCCTTTCCCAGAAAATGCCTGGAAGTTGTTGGTACGGCCCAGTCCCCAGTTCCGCGGAATGAATTGCCACCGCGGTTTTGCGGGGAACTGACCCTAGGCACCAGAACCCCGGTAGGCTGGCAGATTGACACAAACATCCCCCAACCACCTTATCTCAGGTTGGGGAAATATTATAATTGACGCAGAGATTTAGAAGCATCATTGAGTATAGCCTCACATTCTTTCGGGGGACAAATTGGGGTCCATGGATCTCTCGACCTTTGCTCACCTCAAATGAGCAGTGGCTACAAGCGAGTCATGGAACTCTTGAGCAGCTACGCCACCTCACTTGCGGCCAAAGCGAGTCGACCGGATCTGACATTTTTAATTCCCCCTTTTTGTTCATGTATTTTTTCGCTATGCCCCCAAAAGGTTGTGTGCCCTTGATGTTTTTCTGGATCTGGGTCACTACAGGGGCAACTGAGTTACCCTAAGAAGTCGGACTTGCCTTTGATGCGCCCCATGCTAGGGGCACCTAGGGTGGAAGAGAGGGAGGCATCTTTGGCGGATGTGAGGATTTCATCGACGTGTGCTTTTGCATCGATATCGTGCTGAACTTTTGCACATCTTACCTCGATGAGGCCGCGGAGTTTGGGCTGACCCTTTGCCCGCGTACCAACGGATCGCCAGAGATTGTAGAATCGGTGTCCAATCTTTGGTGCATTTTGCCAAGGGATGTTAGGACTTTAACTTTTTGTCAACTATAGGGGTTTTCCAGTAAACCACCAAAAGTTATTCACTTTTAGCAGGGGAGCAGAAATCAACCAAGCAATCTCCAGGTGTTCTTTGCTTCTTGTTGGGTGTTTGGGGTAGTGTCTCAAAATGAGAGGACCCCCCAGAATGGCTTCGGTGTCCTTGTGGTGTCCCTTGAACCAACCCCAAAAAGGGTGGCTACAGGCTACAAAAGAAGACGGATCCAGATTGATTGATCCAGATTCGCCGCCATGGCAGGTCCGTTAGATCCGAAGCCCCGTAAATTCCAAGTCCCCGCAAGGATTCCAAGTCTGGGCTCCACGTAAAAGCGGGGCATCACTCGGTATCACTACCAAAAGGAACTCACTGCCCATACTTCCATTTGCTGAAATGAGCATGTTTGGCAATTTTTGCCGTTGAAAGGGAATCGATTTCGCTATTGGACACATATTTTCCATTTTTTCAGGGGGCAACTGCAGCAGATGGAGGCATTTCCCACAGTCCGTGTATGTCCCTTTCGGATTCATCAGTCTTACCTTTTGGCTGCCAAGTGAGTTTCTTTTGGCTGGGGTGATGTGTAGAGAAAAGGTTTAGCCGAGACCCCTGACGTGACGAGGTTGAAGCCCTGGTATACACCCCAGCCGTTTCCCGTAACTTCAGGGATTGACTTACTATCAAAGGCAGCCCCCTGTTGGACGTTTTTTTTCTTCCGGGCCTAAGCATGAAATTGAGAAAACCACCGCGAGGTTTTCGTGCTCTGGCAAGAAACAACCGCAGGAGGAAGGCACCTTATGTGGAGAGATGTCTTCCTTCCGGGGAAGGTCTTGTTTGCCCACGTCACGTTTCGGGACCCACAAATGGATTTCAGCAAGGGTGCTATTTAAATAGCCCATAATTTTCGAATCTACCAGTTGCAAGCAAAGTCTCGAACGTTTTAAGGTCGCTTTTCCGATTTGGCCCCGCTTTTGGTCCCCGGACCACACACAAGAGTGCCTCCGGCGTTTTCGTCTCCGGTGCTCTTCAGCCAGTGGGGCTAACATCGACTCGACAGGGCGGGGACGAGATCGACTCCCCGAAACGGGTGGCCATCACCTACCTGAAAAGTTGGTTCGCCTTGGACCTCATCACAGCAGCGCCCCAGCGGCCTTCTGCCTTCTGCCTTCTGCCTTAGCTCGACGGGGAAGGGATGGATGGACTCACCCATTCTGCGGTGCGTGGCATTGCTTTTTTTTGTTTCTTTCGGGTTTTGTGTCTTGCCCCTTGGGAAACAAAGGAAAGCAATTGGAGAAAGGTGAATCTTTTGTGCTTTTATTTTTCGGAGCTGGTTTCAAGGCAGCCCCGGATGGGCGGGGAAGAATCGCTTGCACCACTTGGGAGTTTCTCAAAATTGTGGACCCCCAATGATGTAAGGGGAATGAAACTAAAGGGGCTCTTCTTGAACAAGGGGTAAAACATATTTATATCGCCGCTGATATTGACCTGCTTACCCGAACTCTATCTTTGGGTTGGCTCCCTTTTGCGCGTGAGCGTGAACCCCAGCAACAGTCACAGAGACCCACCCCCTATTTGCCCCTTGTTTTGTCCATTGACCCTAGCAAGGCGTCATTTCTGTTTTGACTGTTTCTGGGTTGAGTCATTCTCGCACCAGGGTCCTTTCCAGGCACTTTGGATCAAATTGCCAGCTTGGTTTTCGGTAGGCGCCGTGGCAGGCCTGTTACGAAGTAAGTAAGTTCAGTTAAAAGTCACTTGGGCATGTCCCTTTCGGAGTAGGGTTTGTTAAAAGGAAAGACATCCATTTTGCGATTTGGAGAAAACTCCAGCTGCCAATGTTGCAACACCCTTTCGTTGATTGCTATTTGGTTGGATCCAAAACGACGTTCGCGCTTTGGGAAACGAGAACTTCCCACGAACAGTTTTTTTTATTTTGGTTCGCGCAGAGGTTGATCCATGTTGATCCAGCTCCCCTTTCCGTACCCCCACTTGCGCAAAGCGAATCGACCTTGCAACGGAGGGTTCCCCTACTAAGGATAGACCACAGCAAGAAAGATCGGGTACCCTTATTTTAACCTCTCTACCAGAGGACCTAGATGTTGGTCCGTTGCTAGCTATGGCGCCAAAAGGTTCACCTTCCATTCCCGGTCCAAACTGGCAAGCGAGCTGCGGATCGAGGTGCCCCTGCAGCATTTGGCCAGCAGCATCCCTGAGTCCATGGATAGCATCAAACTGCTGAGGGGCAGCAAGGTCTTCAAGATCCTGCCCCTTGACTAAGCCCAACCTGGCTACTTGCGTGTGTTGAGGCCACCAACTTGAAGTAAAGTTCAAAAGGCAAACCATCCCTTTGAGACCAATTTCTGAAATGGGATTCCCAAATACAGCGAGGGAACACTGTTACGGCCTTGTATGGTACTGCCTGTGCCGCAGGTTGCCAACCGTTGGCAGTTTACTCTTGTGACCCACTCAAAGGGGCGATCGAATCGGCAAGTCAGGTAAGTGGTGATTGTAAGCCTGGTTTCCCCACTTCGGAGACTTATAACCCACCATGGCTTTTGTGGGTTATAACCATGCATGAGTATTCCCCACTTAAGCACCCGATCCCCCCTTTAAGCAGCTCCCATGAGTCTTAGCTGCAGGTTGCTTGACCCAGGTCTGCGACTACTGGCTCTTTCACCATGGCTTTCTCCAATCGAAAGCCAGTTGAGTGGCAACCATCCATATGTTTTTGGTGTACCCTGAAGATAAGCCCAAGCAGATTTCCCAACAGCTGCTTTGAAATGGAACCTTCAAGTAGCCGTTCCCATGTTTCGTTTGGTGGCTTGACCAGTCAAAATTGACCCAACAAAAACTGGTTGGCTGGGGGGCAATCCACTCTGCAAGAAGGACATCTGTTGAAGCTGTTCAGGGTAAAAACCTCTGATTTGGGGTTGACATCATGCCCGAGCAAACACTGAAACAGTCAGTGTTGTAGGGAGTACTTGACATTGGCAGCGTTTTCGACAGATGCCCTATTCAACGCAGAGCACCTGTGGCACACTTGATTCCCATTCTACAAAGAAGGGAATTCCACAGATGATGAATTGCGGCTGTCCCTCCCTTGTACCCTACTTGCACCGTTGCGCAAATCAAGTGTAGGGTCGTGCTATATGAAGGATTTGCAAGCTTGGGGGGTTCGATTTTGTTTCGTCATTTGGCTCACCTCCGCTGTGTTTTGATTTTAATTCGTCATGGGAACCCCGGATTAAGCAGAACCTGCTTGATGTTGATTCGGAGGTGTCAGGGACCCCCCCCCCCGTAAGAAACACGGGTCGATTAATCCGGGGTCCACATTATGGAGGATGTCGTGTTTTTGCATGTGTTGTTTGACTCAGGAAGTGAGTTAGGTGGGAAGTGAGTTTTGCTTGTTGTTTGGCACACCACACAAGGGTCGGCTGGATGACGGACTCTCAAACCCTCCTTCCTGCATTGTGCAACCTCCTTATTGGTGGCTTCTCCTTCTGAACTCACTTCCTGAGTTCCTGGACTCTATTTTGTTGTATGGCCATGTTAGCAGCAAACGAAGGGCTTGGACTTGTGCTGGCAAACCCACTCAAGCAGAGTATGCTGCTGTAGACTACTTGAGGTGCTGCTACGCTGAGGCTTCACACTTTCAACTTTCCATCCCCCTGCTTACCACGTTTCGTACTCGAACACATCCAGCCAACACTTGCAGCTTTAAATTCCATTCTAGGCGCGTGAACACCCTTGCCCTTTTTTGACCAAAGGTTCCTCCCTGGCAGGACGGTTTGCAAGACTGTGTTAGCGGTCATGAGGGATAGGCTGATTCATCGGTTGAACGCGTTTCATGTAAATGTTGGTTCATTTTTTGAGGCTTCATTTCTGTGCTGAGTCGAAACCAAAGGGAGCCATACCCCCCCCACTAATTAACAACATGGAACCTGACAGGGGGGTCCTGGAAGACCAGTTTCCTTTCAATTGGCGGGACGGTACCAATTTTGGGGTACCCCTTCCCCCGTTTGGAGACAAACCCATTTGGACGTTCACCTCTAGCTGCTGAGGAGCGGTTGCCAAACCTCGGCTTTAGTAAAGCGGGTTGCATCTCAATCCAGAGAAAAATGTGGCTCAACTCACTCCCTGAGTCCATGGGCTTTAAACTTTTTGGGCTTTTTGGGCTTAGATTTAGCAGCAAACTGAAAGTTTGGCAGCTTTTCGCGGCCATCCGCTCGATCGGATGTGAGTAAATGGGATACTCCCTGCCACTTTGCTTTTGCGTCCGGCAAGGGGCCTTTAAGCGGAGATTCATCTTCCAGGCAACCTCCCGCAGGGGCTATTGTTGTGGGAGGCGGAGTATCAACGATTCTGCATGGAGATTTGCTAACCATAGTTGCTTGCATTGCTTCCAAAAGCCCGATGTGGGCTTGTTTCAAGGTGGCCATGGGTCATAACCTATGCCTCCATTTTGGGGCGGATGAACACCAATGTACCACCTATGTTGACGTTCACCAGGGGTTTCCTGGGTTTTGACTCACAGCCAAGTTGCTTCAAAGAAAGAAATACAAGGAACACAACCCCGTTTTATTGAGTCCCGTGCCGCATGCAACCCGCCGCCGGTCGAGCCGCGGAAAGCGCGAGGAAAGTGGTGCGCGCGGTGAAGCTGCTGAAGGTCATGCGCGCGTCCAACCTGGGCACGCGCATCGAGGACTACATGATGCACCCCGCCTTTGTCGGTCTGATTCGCATGGGGCTTGCGCGAAAGCACACGGAAAGCGAGAAAGCACACGGAAAACGGGTGCGTTTTTCGATGGATGTGTGGATGTGTGCGTGTGTGTTTTCTTTTTGGGGCATATTATGCGATCTGACTTGGGTTGTTGGGAAATGAAGCCACAGGCTCGCGATGTCTCGTTATTTGTTTGTGGGATTCTAGGACGCCTGTTTTGTGGGGGTTGTTTGAAGGGAATGGTAGGCCGTTTGAGTGCTGTTTGCTCAAAGACATGCAACTGCGTACCCGGTAGAGGAAAGGAATAACATGAATAATGTAGGCTTCACTGTTGTTGGCACGGTTTCAGGTGTTTTGTTTTGTTTTGGTTATGTTCATTTTAGTCGGGGAAGACGGGGCACGTACCCGGTTTGTGGCTCGAGCCACACCTAGATTTAAACCATAAAGTGTGGGGACTGGACAGGCAAAGGAGCCACGTCCTCTAAACAACCACCGCAACTTTCGCAGCTTTCCGTCACAACACCACACACCCCAAGCAGCTCCGGCAATCCCCGTGCAAGCGGTACTGCAAGCGTACCAAGCATTCCAAGGCAGCAGTCCCACGTGTTTTATCGCCAGCATGGCCTGGAGGATGCAAAGTGAACCCCTGATATCATTGGAGTGATCGAACCTGTCTAAGATTAATTTCAACCACAAAACCACCTTGGCACATTATCAACTAGGAGGGTGTTCGTGGCAACATGGCGGCATCCACCATTATTTCCGGAAGTTTTCAGTCCCACAGCTTTACAGGTACCCCCTGCTTGGCCTTTTTCAGAGTCCTAGGGTAGGATTTGCATCGATATCCCCCTGACAACTATCACCGTAATCTTCCATTTGCATAAATTAATCATGAGTTATTATGTCGCCAGGCTTCAACCGAATTCCATCGCTGGAAATATGTGTTTTGCCCAGGAGGCTTGAGCAAATGGAAGTATATGATCTCAGTTTTGAGTTCCTCAACTTTAGAGTCACGTTGTGGTTTTGGGCCATGTGAGGAAAGAAGAAGTTGGACTTTTGGCACGTTCACTCGAGAAGTGGGTTGAATTGCCTGATGTACCCTGCGCCGAGCGTGAGGCATTCCTCGAGCGGGCGCCGCTTCTTCGAGCTCCTCCGGATCTTGGCAGCTCGACGGAACCTGCCCGCAACAACACCCACCCACCCCTCCCCGGGGAGGAAGCAGAGGGCTTTTGTTTCTCCAATTGTGTGGCCCTCCTTGTGTGCCTTTTTAGTTGGATGGGTTCTCTCTAGAAGAATCAAACCCAGAAAATGGTTGGTGAAATGCAAGTGGGCAAGTGCTCTCATGTACGGATCGAGCTTCCAATGAGTCTAGTAGTGACGCTTTTGGGCTTTCAGGACAAAACGTAGCCTTGGAGCGCCTTTGGAGCACTCTCGGAACATGGATGTGTGTTTCTTTTGGAGGATACCCCTTTTGGACTTGTTTTGGAACGGACGCCCAAAGGAAACAAACCAGTTTGTTTCTTTTTGTACTGTGGGTGGACGAAATCCAGCACCACCTAAGACACCATCGAATGATAATTCCCCTGAAAATGCCAAGAAACACTGGTTTCAACCAATATATAGTTTCCAAGTGGTGCGAGAAGCGGATTTCGTCCACCCACATGTCAACTTGGTGGCTCCCAGCCATCCGGTCCCTTAGCTGTTTTTCCGACTTTTCGTGTTTAGTGGGGGTTTCCATTTGACCCGCCAAGACTTAGTCACTTTTCGCAGATCTGAAAACGGGCAGCCCAGTTCAGACGAAAAGCCCGGCGGCGAGCCGGCGAGCCGGCGAGCCGAGTCCCAGGTGAGCTGCTGCCTGCTGTGCCACTTGCTGGCGTGTTTTATGCAGATCTCGGGGACTGGCTTCCTGGCGCCTCGCAGCAAGCAAGGGGCTGGCAAGATTCTGGGGCGGAATGAAAGGCGTGGAATGAGGGCCTGGAGCCTCAAACTAGCCCAAAATGGGAAGTCACTCACCACAATTTGGGACAATCACTATTTTTTAGGGCGGTTTGAGGGCTACTTATCCCTCTGGCAAGGTTGACTTTTGTCGGATAAGAGGGAGTACACTGATATGGGCGGTTTATGGAGAGAACGACGGGTGAAGAGAATGCAACAGCAATTCCACATTGTCGCCACGTTAGCTTCCCCTGAAATTCCTAGATTCTACCTGAACCGGCTGAAGGCTTTCCACTGGTCAACCATAAAGCCTTCCAAAACGTGTTTCCATTTTTAGGGAAGACACGGTTTCATGTGCTTGTTTTATCTTCCACTGAATTTGGCTTTCCAATCGTTGCAAGCTGTGTTTCTGTCAGTTTGCTTGGTTTCCCGCTAGAGCTGGTCAAGCAAGCAGACATAGTCCCATATCCCTTTAATTGTGAATTCATCCCGCACTATGCAACACCCTGCGGGGAAACGGGCTAGGCTAGGTACAGTGCACGACCCGCATATTGCAAGTAAGGGAACGCGGCAACCCTCTAATTTACTTGACCGCATCGCTTTTTTTCAGGGGTCTCGTTTCTCGGCTTTTGCAGCAGGTGTCGTATGTGTCCCTTGGTGGCTTTAAGCATCACCTCTTTGGCCCGTAGGTGAATTTCCCTGAATGATGTGTTTATGCCTGGACTTTGTCGAACTGAATCACCCCTTAGATGTTTTGGAATCAAATGCCTTTCCAATGAACCCTACAAAATGGTTAGACCTGTTTCTCACGCGGCTTGGAGCCAAAAAGACCTATATTTGCGGCTTTGCCATCGTCGGAACCCGGCCAAACCATGGCTCGAAGAGCCATTGGGGCTGATTCGCCATTTCTCATGGGTTCTTTTGAGGCTGGGTATTTGGAACTCACTTCCTGAGTTCATGAACTTCAATCTTTTTGGGAAGACCGTTCGCTAGTGGTAAAAATAAAGTTTGGACTTTTTTCGGGCCATCTCAGCCAGTGAGACTAGGGATGTGGACCTCTCAATTCTTCCCCTTTCGTTTCCCAAGGCCGACCCGAGACCAGGGCCGAAGAAATGGCGAGGCCCCAAAATTATTTCGCTGTGGTCCCCGTTTTTGTTTGTTTTTTTTTGGGGGGGGGGTTGAAAGGGAAACATCCAAGAACCCATATGGGTGAGTCCCTTTTAGGGAAACACCGCGCCATTTAGGTGTCCAAATCCATGAGTCCCCATATGGCTGAGTCCCCCTCCCTGGCATTTTCCACTAGGTCCCCCAGCTTGGAGCCCTTTTCTCCCCTTTTTTGGTTGGGAGGGTTCCCCTACTAAAAGAGACTACAGCAAAAAAATAGAGTACCCTTATTCTAGCCTCTGAAATCTGGAGGACCTAGGTGAGTCCCCCTTGGGGGTTTTGCCACATCAGGACACCTACGAGTGGGACAACGAGACCAGCACCTCCAAGTACATCAGCTCCCTCTACTGGGCCATGACCACGGTGACCACCGCCGCGCGGACGATCTCTTTTGTTTTTTGTTTTTTTGTCCTTTATTTTTGTGTTTCCTTGTTTTCCTTTTTTTTCTTCGTCGTTTATTTCTAGTTGTTTCTCTGTTTTTCTTTCTCGGCGTGCGCGTGCCCTGGAATTTGGCCCACGGATCCTCAAAATGAGTGGCTGGTGGTCCATCTTGTTCTTTGAGGGTGCCCCCGTTTTTCCTTTTTGGGTCGGGGAAACCCCAAAAGCACCACACCCAATGTTGCCCTAAAATTTGTTGGATTGGGGTGGTGGCATGTTTTCCCTGGTTTTAAGGTTCCCATGTTGGTTTGCAGGCAACCTATGACTAAAAGATGTTTAGTTTTCCAGGCATTAAGTATAAGACATGCCCAGGCCCACAGAAACAATTGCCCCAAAAATGCTGGGGTAACATTCTGTTTGAAGGGGCTGGTTCGAGGGTCCAGGCATGGACAGAGCCAAATGTGACCCTGATTCCAAGGGGATATGGTGAGCGAGCAACAGTTTTTTTCAGGTTTGTCATGATATATAGCTCTTGACTCAGGCAGGAGATAGTTTACTACAGAAAGAAGGCGGGTAGTTGCAGTAGAGGGTAGTCGTACAGTTGGGCGATTTGGGCACGAAGGGGGGACGAGCTCTTAATAGTTTCTCGCAAGAAGCAACGTACGGAACCCTAGTTGTCCAATGCCCTTTAGAGAAGCAAGTAATTTTGACACGGCTCGTCTGTTCTTTTTTCCTCCGGGGGGGTGCCCCCCCATGTTTGGTCAAGGTGCCGAATTCTCACACGCTGGTTATGGGTCATGTCCTTCAGTTGCAAGCCAGTTTAGCGGAACCCATGTTTGGCTGATTTTCAAACCAAAGGGGACCCGGGCCCCACAGGAAGGTAGGTCTTGTACATGTCCTGGTTTTCCCTTGAAAGCAACGTGCCCCTGAACAGGTGAGGGCCCCTTTTGGGGTGTTCAATCGCCTTGGTGTGCTTGAGCGGTTTATGTAGACAGATCCCACACAAAAAGCGCCCTTGTTGTTTGGATGGTGAAAAGCAACAGGAAACCACCCAGGTGTATGTGAAAACTTTGGGCCAGCCGGTGGTTGGCGTGTTACCTTTGGCTGCTTCAGCGGACCCGAGGTTGGATACGGGGACATTGTGCCTCGCTCCGACGATGAGAGGACTGCCTGGAAGTATAGTGCAGGTCAAATACTGGGGACGACATATGTGGGAGGGTTGTGATTTTGTGTTAAGAAACCTTAAGCAAACTCGCCAAATGGGACATGTTTAACTACCAACTTACCAGGAAGAGGTATGCTATATCCGGCCTGTTGTGGCCCCCGAACCCGTTCCCACTCCCCGCAACAAATACGTGCCATGGTCAGATCGTCAGATATTTGGGGTTGTTAGGGATGGTCATAAAACTATGTACAGCCTTAATTGAATTGAAGGGAACTTGGGAGCTTTGACTATGGCACACGTGTTCTGTTCCACCATGGTCTTTACCATAGAGGGCGCCCCTTTTTGGTATGTCCTGTTGAACTACCCTTGGGGGAACCATAATTTTGGGGCACCCCATGTTGCACTTCATAATGTTGGGGCAACCCCAGTTTTCAGTTGATAAACTGGGTTGGCCTGCCCAGACTTGAGTGCTTTTCAACTCTTTTTTTTCCCCATTCTGTTGGGATAATCACCAACAGTCGGGTTTGGTGTGCTCCTTTGATTTTTTCTCGAAAGACCGACCAAAAGGGAGTTGCGCCTCAAAATGACCCTGTTTTTGATGCTCGTCCTTTCATGTTCCCTTCAAATACCAACAAAAGCAGGCCTCAAAAAGGGACAGGCCCATTTGGCGTCTCATGCGTCGGTTTCTGTCCCTTTCGCCTCTCGTCTCCAAATCAACGGCCCCAATTTGGCAGGGTCTTCACCATGCTGGCCATGATCCTCGGGGGGGCTTTCTATGGCTATGTGGTTGGCAACATCTCGGTGATTCTGGCCAGCAACGACGCGCCTCAGAATCACGGAAGGATGTCTTTGGCCGAGAAAGATTTGGTTTGATACTCCGCTGCTTGTGCTAAAGAAAGTGTCTTCCAGTTGCTTGAGATTTGATCTTAACTTGTTACCCAGCTTTAAAAAGGGAATCTATCACTACCGTACAGTTTTTTTTCTGTTTTGCAGCGGCTTAAGCAATTGGAGGAAAGATGTCAGTCCATGTGCCGAAGATCTGGTTGAACGTGTTCCCCTGCTTGTGTAAACCGCGAATCTATCCCTGCTGGACTTTGTTTTTTTGTTTGCTGAGGCTTTTGCAACTGGAGGAAATGGTCAGACTGAATGGAGCCCCGTCCCAAGACGTTCCCAAACCGCGGTTGAGACCGCCTTTTCTCAGTGCCTTCCATACGTGGACATGGGTGTGAATGTGAAAATGGGAACCCGGAATGGACAGAATTTGGTGGGATTCATCTGAATCTGCGTTCCCCAGAAAACAGCATTTGTACAGTAACTGTAGGAACGGAACCTCCTCTTGGAGTTCCCTTAGAAATGGGTTATAGCCCAAAATGATGGGGTGCATTCCCATTTGTTCGTGTAGTTTGAGCTTGATTGCTATTGGGTTGGATCTTTAGACTTTGATGTTTGGGAAATAACGGTGTTTTCCACCAAACCCCCAAACAGTTAAGCTTTTTGCAGGGGGGTCAACAGCAACCAAGTGAGGGTCCAGGTTGGCTCTTTCTCCGCGTGAGGTGAACTGGCGCGCCAAGAAGGAGCGGCTTGAGGTCATCGACGCATGGCTCACGCACCACCGCTTCCCCCTGCGCTTGCGACGACGGATCTGGGCGCGGGCCCCCAGTTTGGTTGGCAACCGGTTGCGTAAAGGGGCGATGCAGGGTACGTCAGGGAAGCCTAGGGGCCCAAGTCCTTATTAAATGAGAGTTTTGGGTCATAGGCCCCCATATTTGGGGTCCAAGGGGCTGTTAGAGAACCAGGGTTATAAGTTATAGCCCGCTAAAGCCATGATAATAAGTCTCCATTCAGTGGGTTATGAGCAGGAGTATGTTTCACACGCTTGTTTAGTGGATTTGGCCCATTTTCTGCCGGTCAAGGAACCCAAGCTGGCCATGGCCTTGGGCTTTTAAGCCAGAGTTTGGCAGGGGTAGTTTCTTGGTGGCTAGCCATCCGGTCCCTTTTAGCATCTTTTAGTGAAAAGTGGTAGTGGGGATCTGAGGGCAGCTCAGGTTTCAGGCTCCAACCTTCATTTTGAGGGCTCCTAAATGCCCAGAACCCGAATCAATCCTCTGGCTTGGCACCCCTCTAGTGGCCATGGAAACTAGCGCACCTCAGTTGAATGCAGTTGATTTCGAAAGGGAAACCCACATGCAAACATTTGTTTTTCCTCTCCCTGAAAAGGTTTGGTGGGTGTCTGCAAAGCGCAAACAAAAACCGCCTGCCTTTGTTGGAGCCAGGAATCATGCCGGAAGTGCTTGATGATCCCACGTCACAAGTTGTTTCGGGGTTTGTCAATATTTGCTTGGGGGAACCCCCCAAATGGTGGTTTTCTTTTGGGTTCCAAGAAACACGCGAAAAGCAAACGGGGGGGATCCGTAAAAAGAAGACCAGCCGCCCAGATATGTCGCGACCTTGTTGAGTTGCTTTCCCTCCTTTATGGGTAGTTTGCGGGTTTCGGTGGTCCCTTTGGTTTCCTTCACCTCGGAAAAGTGGAGCACCCTCAGCAACGCTCATGTGTTTGGAGGTTGAGTGGATTTTGGTCCCAGCCCCCTTTTTTTTAAACCCATAGACATAGATTTGAGGCTCCCCAATTTCAATGCGGCATTGTGGGGCTGGTCTGTCATGCTCCCAGAATAGCAACCTTCCCCCCCTCCACCCTCACCTCCCCTTCTCCTAAATGTTTTCACCGCTTTTCAGTTTTTCTCTTTCCCCCAGTAGTGCCCTTTTACCCTGGAGGGTTCCCCGAAAATAGACCACAGCAAAAAAGATCGGGTACCCCTATTCCAACCTCTCCACTGGAGGACCTAGTTTTGGCTCGGAAAGTTCTTTCCTCTGAGGGCTACTACAAGGTCACGGTGAGCAGCCAGGCGCCTTTGAAGGGAGGCCTTTTGGGGACGCAGCCTTTTGGGGTCGATGCAACCAGCGTTCTTTTCAGAAAGCGGCCCGGTTTTCCCCGAGATTTCCGGAGGTTTTCTGGTCGATTCCTTTTCCGTGGATTTTCAACCATCGTTTGTTGTTGAAAGCCAGCCATTTGTTCAGAGGTTTTCCAGAAAGAAGGATTCCTGGAAGGAAGGGAGAAGGATGATACCCATAGAACCCTGGTACGGGGATGTTGTCTCAACAACTTGGCGGCTCCCAGCCATCCGGTCCCTTTGCTTTTCAGCCTTCTAGTGTTTAGTGGTAGTGTCCATTTCGCCGATTTCGCCCACTAAAAGACAATGGTGGCTTAGTTGTCTAAACAATAGTGGCTTAAACTTTGGTGCATTTTGCTTGGATGTTAGGACTTTCGCTTTTTGCCAACAAATGGGTTTGCCATTAAACCACTAAAAGTTATTCACTTTTCGCAGGGGAGCAGATTTCGCAACCGAGTAAAGATCTTCAACAGGGTTCGTGACCTGCGGTTTTGCTCGCCAGTGCTCTCGATCCCGATGCGGAAGTCTTGTGGACTTCTGCAAAATTTGCAGCTGGTTTAGCGGCGGAGGTCACCTGGTCCAAATCGGGTACCCAGAGGACTGGTGGCAAAAATAGGGAGATCCGCAGGAAAGAGACCGGGCCCCAACCACCAATTGCCGGTGATGGAGGGGTCGTGTCTTCCATTGAAGGTCCAGCCTCTGGGTTGGAGAGTAGTGCCCTTTTACCCTTTTTTTGGGTGGGTTCCCCTACTAAAATAGACTACAGCAAAACGTTGGCACCCTTATTCTAACCTCTCTACTGGAGGACCTAGTCTCATATCCCAAACCTTCCACAGTTGGTCTTTTGCTACGCCTTGGGTTGGAGAGATCTTAGCGCAGGTGATTTGGGATGACTCCGTGGTCTTCTCGGAGCTCTCCGAGGAACTCCGGGAGGAAGTGGCGCGGGGCCCCGGGGAGACGGTCGCTTTAGGGGTGAAGAACACCCACCCGAGTTGTCGACCCCCAATACCTACCTGAACCCAAAGAAACTACCAGGTGATTGTAACCTCAAATTTGTGGGTGAGTTCCCTTTTTGTATGGGTAGTTTGAGGGTCTAGGTACTTGTCTAGGTATGATGTCAACCCTTTACAAAGAACCAGGAGGTACTTACGACAAATACCCTGAAACAAGTGGCTATATGGAGTATTAAAAATGTTTTATGGTTTTAGCGGGATCACTGGATGTATTCGAAAAAGTCATCAACACTTCTCAACGGCGAAAGTTTAGGGATTATTGTAGCAACTATCCATAGGGAAATACGTCTCACCGTCTCACAATCAGCCTACTGGGTAGGCATGCACTTTAGAGCTGGTTCCGGATTTATCTCTGCACAACTTTCTTCGGTAGTCGACCTGACATGACCTTGGTTTTCCATTTTGACAACCATTCTTTGTCTAGGTCCCAACCAATTTTGGTAGCCGTTCTTTGTCTAGGTCCCAACCAGCACGCCCCAAATCAACCACTGCTTTTTTGGAC